ATTTTCTTACCATTTCAGTGATATCGTGTCAATTGATCAGCAAATTAAAAGACAGTGGGCAGTTAAAATCTGGAGTAACATTGTGCCATAATTCAAGTTATAACAACTTGAAATGTGTTTGACAATACAAACACAAAGTACTACAATAGGACAACAGCTAATGTTAGTATTTAAACACTTCCAAGCTAACATAAGTGTTTGATAAAGTTACAAGATTTAAAAAAGCATAAACTCTAAGCTAATAATAAGTTAGATGAAGGTAATGTGAGTCATGAATTGGTTCAGTGCTTACATTAGCGTGCTGTAACTTAGCTGTCTTAATGATTTATAAAATATTTTGTTTTGATGACCTAACAGCTACCGACAGTCAGTAACATTAGCTAATATTAGTATTGAACCAATACCTCGCTAACATTTCAGTTAATTAGCTCAAAATGTCAGTAGCTACTTGTTAGGAATGTGCACCTTTACTTTCAAACGTATTTGCACCATCAAAGGGTATTGTTAGGCAGGAAGTCACTGTGATTATAGTGTTAGCTGTTGTCTAACAGTATCTTATTGGTAATCAGATTATGTTTCACTTAAAAATGTTTCCTAATGTTCTTACATGATTTCACTTCTCATTCCCCTTCAGAAGAGATCGCAATTCATCAGACGTTATTTAGCCGACGTTCTAACGTTTACAAGACTTGCAAACATAATACATAGCATTCAGACATTATAATAGCATTTGAGCTTCCCAGCCTGATCATGGTGATATGGTGAAAGGGCTGCTGTGTTATTATTGTAATCATTTCCTACATTAAAAGGATATTGTAGTAAATGTTTTCAAATTGATATCTAATAAGATATGGTATGTAACACTGACCTTCAATATTTTGTTACAGCAGCTGTCAGAGTGATGTTTTTTTGTTTATGTTCAACATTGTGTTGATGTTTTCTCCCTCCACCTCTCCTCAGGAGATCTGTGTATCGAGTCACACTCAGAAACAGCAGAAACGTCAAGCCATGCACAAGGACTGTATATCCCACGAGGTAAATCCATTTTTTATAATGATATCATGGAATGCCAATAAAGATATATGAGTCCGTAAATCTCTCCTTCTGTAAACTTTAATATATTTCAGTTGAAAAGTGAAGATGATGAAGATGAGGCGATGAGGAACAGCAGAGTCAGTCAGGAGAGACAGAAAACACTGGACAGACTACGCACTTTCAAGCAGGTATATTACCTCCTATAAACAAAAATATGTCAATAGTATTCCATGTTTGTCTTACTCATTGACCGCTGCTTCTCTCTGTGCCTTTGTTTAGAGGTACCCAGGTCAGGTGATTCTGAAATCCACTCGACTGCGCGTGTCTCACAACAGGAGAAGAGAACGCGGACGAGGCACGGAATTGAGTAGCTTGAGTGAGAGGGAGGAGCATGTAGAGATGCATTGCCAGCCGCTGTGTCTCAGCACCAGTGTACAGACGGACCCCAGCCCAACCCTGGCGCTCACTACTCAGCCTGTCACAGCTCTCACAGCATCCCTCCCTCCACTGCCTGTGCCCAGTCCTGCTGACTCCTCCTGCTCTCCCTGCTCACTGTCCTCATTACTGGCATCCCCCATCTCCCCTCCTCCTCCCCCTCCCCCTCCTCCACCTTTGCCAACGAAGGAGGAGTTGTCCCCCTCTGTGAGCCCAGGTCGGCATGGGCAGAAGGTGGAGGGGAAGAGTGCAGCAGAGAAGGAGCTCGCCCTCTCTCCGCTTGGCCCGTTTATCCCTCGCTTCTTTGACAGCAGCCAACTACTTAGTGCCAGAAAAAAGCTGAGGAAGACTCCCGAGTTTGACTCCCACAGCAGAAGAGGTACAGCAACTTGTTATCGCCCTAGATGGCTTTATTTAATTAGCTCGGTACGGAAGCCAATCACAGCTCTCCTTCTTTCTCTTGTGTAGCGAGTACTCCCATGGACGAGGTGTTGGCCTCCCTGAAGAGAGGCAGTTTCCACCTGAGGAAGGTCGATCAGCGGTCCCTGCTTCCCACCAAGGATGACGAAGACCCCAACAGCATCCTGGCTCAGATTCGCAAGGGAGTCGCACTGAAGCGTGTCCCTAGAAAAGAGAGGAAGGACCAGGGAGAGCTCCCGGCCTCCACAGACCCCCTGACCAGGAGCATCCATGAGGCGCTGCGCCGAATCAAAGAGGCCTCACCAGATTCTGACTCAGACGATGACGGGCTGGCCGGCCCTGACTGGGAAAGCTAGGTTCAAGGATAAGACACAAAAACACCTGCACAGATGCCTGCACCTTCTGGCACTGCACACACTGTACTGCACTGTACTGTGAACACATGCACGCACGTAACACACACACACACACACACACACAAAACAGTTACTCCATCATTCACACTCAAGTACAAACAGCCCAGTCACACATGTACCCAGTGACTTGAGTAGGGCCTGAATCATACGGAGTGTCACCAAACTCATCAAATGCTCCAAAGGTCTAAGGTTAACCTGTTCATTTTCTGTATATTCCACACTACATTCTCCATCATAAAGGACATCATGTGTCTTACATCATATAAACATTTATGTGGTTTTATTCATGTAATCAGATCGTTATAATGCCATGCTTGTTTCAATTGTATTTCACTTGTACTAAAAGCTCGACACTGGCCCTTAGTGGATTTCTAAGCAGAAACGGTAACACTCATTATTGTGTGACACTAAAAACCTCATGATCATAACTTCGGGTATTGTGGAAGATTAAAATGAAAAAGACGATGAGATTTTAGCTGGATGTACAGGGCAGAGTTTAAACTATTTCAGCACTAAACATCCCCTTTGTACTCTAACTGAGCCACACTTTGCTGCACGGCTGGCTTTGTTTTCAACACGTTTAAGGGGTCTTAAGTGTCCAACAGGATCAGAACCACTTTTCTCTAATCTGACACTGTACAAAAACTGTCAATTCTTTAGTCTGTCGCACTGGATCTGTGCCCCCCTCCCCCCTCCCCCCTCTAACTGCCTTCTGTTCTCTTCTGGCCTTCACTAGCCCTGACTCTCACCCCGTCTCTGGGTGAGGGAATATGTATCACCCATCTGTTTGACCAGAACATATGGCCAGGGTGCTAGGAGATGTGAGGAGTCATGATAAGGTTATTATTTGATTCCTTGGCTAACAAATTGTCTTTAGAGGAGGCTGGTCACCTAGTGTAGGAGAGGAGAAGATGAGGGTCAGTTGCAGAGCTGTAGAGCTTGTGTAGCGTGGTGGGGGTCACAGTTAGTGTCAGGACTCTCGTGGGCTTGGATGGTGGGTGACTCCCAATGTTCATATGTGGGATAGTCACGGCAATGTGGAACTGGTCACGCTAGTATGAATGATGGATTGTTTGTGGGAGGTTAAGATACTCTCAGCGCCGCCGGGAGTCACTGTGGGCCGTTGAGCAGGATGTCGTGATTGATGCGGTTTCTCCTCGTATTTTATTCACTTTCCCTCCTCTCCTCCATCCTAACTTTCTTTCTCAGCACCCAGTGGGCTGAGGCTCTCAGTGGGAGGCCTGTTACTCACGATGCTCGGAGTGAAAACATGCCCATGCGCACAAGGACTCACGCCCTGAGCTCAACCAACATGATGGAAGATTTTAGTGTCAAATCTACAACCTCTTCTTCAGGGTTTGTTGTTGTTGTTTTTGGAAATTGTTTCAGCACTTTCATGGTTCATTGTACAAACTCTGAAAAACTGTACAGGCACTTTGTTTTGTTTTTCAGTCACTGTCACAAAATATATACTGTATCAGTCATAAATGGGAAAGTTTAAAATAAATGAAAAACATATTGAGTTGGACCTAGAAAATTGTGATGGGAGGAGCAGTGTAATGCTTAGCAGCACATGTATTAACGCAGACAAAGCTAAACGATTCTAGTCTGTAACAGCCATGGCATGCACTCTGAAAGTTTGAGGCAAAGATTGTTAAAACATTTCTCTGGTTCTTTTGTTACGAGCAACTGACAGATTCATGAAGCAGAAAAGAAATGTAGAACGTACAGGCGGTGAATATATTTCTCATTTTAAGGCTTGAACATTGCTCAGAACTAAAGGGAGTCTATTATTTCCTTATAGAGCAAACCTAAGGCACTTTTACACGTCTTCTGTCACTATCAGCACAATGTTCTTCCATTGTATCCTCATCATTAGCATGTAGCATTAGATAGAGATCTAACCCCAACATGACTCTTAACTTGATCCTAACCCAGACCTCAGGTTTATTAAAAACTGACCACGGCAGAGTTTCTCCAAAAGATGCAACTATAAGCGTTTCATTTTCCCCACAGAAAAATGATCAACAGTGTGTTGAGGACATTTGGGAAAGAATGTCGAGAATCCCACATTTTTTGCAATGAATCATCTTATTATCACCTGACTGACCTAAGAAATACACTGTTATGTGTTAAACATTGTTCCTTACCTTCAATTAACTTAAACACAGTGGACAGATAACTGTTTTTTCTACATTGCTTTTCATTGCCTTGTTTTTTTCCCTTGTTTATTCTCCAAAGCATTTCCAGGCAAATCATTTTGTGATGTGTATGCTTCTAAACATGAACCATGTGGAACAGTTGTTCACGCAGGCCGACTGTATGACCTGCTGTCTGAATAAGTCAGTCAGTCAGTGGAGAAGTGCAATATCAATATACAAAAAGAGAAAACAAGTAATTGGGTGATACGTTTAAATCTTAGTATTTACAGTCTATGGTTTAAATTGATTGCCTGTGAAGTACTTATAATACATTGCAGTTGTTTTTACATGGTGGTGTATAGACAAACCGTCCAAAAAAATACCTTTTTTGCCTTTAGCGCTTCCAATTTCATTTATTCAGACCTTTTTTTTTAATTTACAACCCCTGTGTTTGAATAAAACCTTGTGAAGCAACTTCTGAGATGGTCCGTTTCCCTGTTGAATTTTAAGTTTGTTTAAAGAACAAAGCAGAACAAACGTGAATTGCACACACTGAATTCTGTGGTCACTGTATTTGAATATAAAACATAACATTTCTCATTTCACAAAGGAGTGGTAGGGCTGTCTTTGTTTTGAATTCAACAAAGGATTAAGTTTGGCTGCAGCACCAACAGGTGTGATCTTTTTTTTTCTTTTTCTTTTTTTTACCAGCATTAGGTAAATCCTTTCACCTGCAAACACACAACTCTCACCAATCTACACACGTCTTTGCCTGAGGTACCTCTTTAATATTATGAGTTCAAAATTACTTTAAATAGTCAAAAATATTGCCAGTCTTCTCATACCTCTAAATACAATAATATTACCTACATTTAAATACCATAAGTAACAAAACAGGAGAATGAAAAGCTTCTTATCCACTACTGTACAAAGGCATTCATTAACAACAGCATTAATATTAAGGTATTCCATCTCTGTCATTCGACTGTCAAAGTTAAAACAGAAGAAGAAAGAAAAAAGCAGGTAACTTCTCCCTTAACATCGGTCTTATTCCAGTGTATTAACCTGTGTAACTAACTACAAAAAGTACAGAATAATGCTGTGCTAGTATTTAATGCAAATCTCTTTATATAATGTAGTTACAACAGTGTAATAACACAGTGCAAACAGGGTGCTCAATAGAAAGGTAAGATAAGCAGTACTTTGCGTGAGGATATACTTTTAGAAATAATAAAGTGATTTTGGAGGAACAGATTGTAAGATATATATTTTTGTGTTTTATTGGAAAAGGGGGGCTGCTTAATAAGTGAATTTATTTTTCTATACAGAATGTTAAACACTGTGTTTACATTGTGTTGTTACTCATTTATTAAATATATGTTGAAGAGGTTTTCATTGTTTACCTACAGATTAGATACTCTACAATGACTATGCAATACTTATCCATGGGTTAATACACAACAATAAGCCACTGCAGGGTGTTACTGAATTGAAGTTATCCATCCATTCATTTACAATTGGTGTTAGGAGTAGAAAGTTGTCCTATACAGTTCTGTTATTATGTCATTAGTGTTATATCCTGTGTAAAAAACAATAGAAACTGAGTACAGTTCTGGGTTGTGGAGTGAAAACCTGTGGCCAGTTTCACCCGGGGTGGAGATCTAAGAACACTAAGATGACACTCTATGAGCCCTTCATGATGCACTACTTTGTCCAGACAGGGCTGCCACACAGGTTCGCGGTCAACAGCAGTACACTTTCTGTTGGACAGGGGGGGGTTGAGCTGAGTTGCATTTGACCTATCTGCATGAGTCCACTGAGTAGACTACCTGATTGAGTTACATAGAGGTGTCATATAGAGCCTGTCTGGTATTGCTCAGTGTGTGTGTGTGTAGGCCTTAACATCCAATAACAGGGTATGTCTCTCACAGCACAAAACAATCAGTCACACACACACACACACACACACACACAAACATGTGTCCACGCATGTGTGCTTTGAAGGCACACGCTATATTGTAGGTCAGGCCTTGTTTGGGAACACACACCACACTGAGTTTGGCAGGAAGACAGGTCAGCTGTCAGCGATGGTGGAAGCAGTCTGGATACAGGAACTTCATGTCAAATCTAAATTTTCAGTGTAGCATTAACATTGACGCTGGAAGATTCAATATTCATCTATAGTATAGGGTTTTAAATAGGCGGTGGATATAGTTTAGCAGTCATTAATATCCAATGAAGAAGAAAACCAAACTTGATTTCCCAGCAGCCTGTGTGTCCAAGCTAGGGAGCAGCACTGAAGTCAACACAGGCCAATAGGTAAGACTGAGAGCCATCCTTTGAATCTCTGTTTCAAGTGACACTCCGCTGGCAGCCCGAGGTAAAACGTAGGACTCTCTTTCGCTGTTTCTCTGTTCAGAGCTTCTCTGTACAGTAAGTCACTTTGGATCAAAGCATCTGCTAGTCAGAGGACAATATTTTGGGGGGATTTGGCAGCTTTGGCGCAGTTCTCTGAGTCTTAACAGCATTTATTTCCACATGACTTTCAACATTCCCCTTGGGGGGGCAGTTTAGAGAGGAAGAAAAGGGGGTGTTTGTGTGTAATGATGTGATGCTGCAAGCTGTGCTGCAGCTCTCCCAGTCAAACAGCAGATGGCACTGAGGCACAGTTCTCAAGTTAAATCTGTGAGTGTGGGGTGTTCAGTGGTGTGGTTTTTGGAGGCAGGTGCAGTGGAATTGTTACAACTGAGGGGGATCAATTCAACCGGGGTTACGCCTACACCAGCCGATCAGAAGGCAAGATGAGGTAGTCCCTGTGTTGTCTTGAACTACAGGATTGCCTGCAGTTGGTTGGAACTTGATGCCTGCAAGTTATAAAAGAGGGGTTAGCTGCCCTTTTTGAGCAAAACCAGAATTGGGGCAGTGTATTGTAGCAGTTGTAATTTGTTGAAGTTGGTGTGTAGTCGGCGGGTAATTGGGGTTGTAGGGTTGCAAATTATCATATGGCTCTGTCTGTGGAGATGGGAGCTCTGACTCTAGCTGGCCTCCTCTATGAGCCGTGCCAAGGTGTCTCTGAGCTCTGTCAGCTCAAAGATCTTGCCGTCCAGGAGCTCCAGCAGCGTCCGCAGGCTCTTCCTAAAGTTCTCCTGCTCCTCCTGATTCTCCTCCAGCCGCTGCTCGGCCCCTGCCAACTGCTCCTCCAACACTCGCCCGCGTAGCTCTGTCTCCTGGAGAAGGAGGAACAGCATTATGAGCAGTTTTTTTTTACTAATTTCACTTTGGGCTGCTGGTCAACAGTTATTTGTTTGATACGTCTTACTTACCTCAAGCTTCTGGGTAAGGGTGTCTTTCTGCTCCATTAAGTCATTCATGTTTTCCAGTTCCTCTTTCAACTTTTCCATTTCCTACAGAACATAGAAACAGATTTAATGCTGTGCGGCAGCGACATGATGGTATGTTTCTACATAAGCCATTACAAATTAGCAAGGCACAATCTCACCTCTTCTTTATCTCTAAGCGTATTCTCCAGTTCCTCTATGGTTTGGTTGAGTTCAGTCTTCTGGGATTTGATCACTGGAACTTGGTTACTCTGGCACTCAAGCTCAGTGACCTTAAAGGACACAAAGGAAAATCGAGATTCAAACCATGACGGCATAACTCTGATCTCAACCTGACTTTCATTTCCAGACCAACTCTTCATTTCTGTTCCCCATGCCAACACTCATCGCCACTGTGAGTGTTTTTCTTCCATCCTCTCATCTTGAAATCACACAATCATTTTCTAATGATCCCTCCGGTTTGTTTTGAATGAACCAATAACACAGGGAAACATGCAAGCTTTTTTATGTGCCCTGTCTCTCACCCGTTTGTGTAGTCTCTCTGCCTCCTCCTGGTAGGCAGCCAGTTGCTGTTTCCACTGTTTAACGTTGGCTGTGGACTCCAGCAGCGCTGCCGTTAGCTTGGCATTGTTCCCCTTTAGTGCCTCCAGCTCGGCCTCCCAGTGTTTTGTCATTGCCGGGCTGCAGAACACAGAGAAAGTATCAGATTACCACAAACAGTAACATAAATCGTAAGAGCTCTTGTTTTTGTAAATGGTAAATGATAAATGTACTTGAGTTTATATATATACCGCTTTTCTAGTCTTCTGACTACTCAAAGCGCTTTTACACTGCATGTCACACCCACCCATTCACACCCATTTACACATTGATGGAAGTGGTATCCATGTAGTGAGACCATCAGAGGTAACTAATCCCATTCATATACATTCATACATCGCAGACGAAGCAGTGGGAGCAATTCAGGGTTAAGTGTTTTGCCCAAGGACACATTGGACATGTTGCTGCAGGAGCTGAGGATCAAACCCTCGACCTTCCGGTTGAGAGACGACAACTCTACCAACTGAGCCACAGCTGTAGTACACATGTAAACTTTTCACATCTGAAAAACGTGTGATGGGGTTATAATCTGAAAAACCCTATGTGCTCCTCAACCTTTTGCCATCAAGACTCATTGAGTAATCCATGCATTCATCCGCCCATCCTGCAGCAGATACTCAAACTGGGGGTCGACACTTCCTGGCCAGTAGCTGTGAGTGCAGCTGTCTGCCCCATGCACTGTAATCTGAGATTATATCCTCAGACTGGCTGGAGCCTAATCTGGTCCAGCTACTAACAGACGAGAAGATGAGATGAGAGATGACGGATAAGTGATTGAATGTGATTGAATTGAGTTTATGATGGAGGGGTATATGGGAAAAAAGGTTAGTGGACAAAAATACATATTGGTTGGGTATTCTTTAGCCCAGAGTTAAAGTGTAGCCTATATGTATATTATTGTGATGAATTGCATGCTATGTCTCTTTAGGCGCATAATGTATAGGCACCGCAGTGTCTCCCTGTAGTCCAAGTAATGAAAAAGAACGTCACTGCTGCATCTTTGAACGTCTCATTTCACTTAAAACTTTAAGACAGCTCAGTTGAAGAGACAAAAGTAATATCAACCTTATGACATCAAGCATTTCACTTGTTTACTGTTCCTTTTAGCTGTTTTAAGTAACAAGTTCCTTTTTCCGTGGTAAAGTTAATGTCAGGACCTTCGATCTACCCGAAGGTTGTTACCGTATTTCAAAATAAAAGCAGCGTTGAATTCAAACAGCAAGTAAAGTATTCTTAGTTTAAGACAAACCTAACAATCCTCATTTTTAAAAGTGAAATAATGGAATTTCATTCCACATTAATCGTGAATAACTGTTGACATTCTGCTATATATATATATATATGTATGTATAAGCTCTACTTTCTGGAGGGACTACACTTCCGCTGTGCATCTCCCCTTTTTGACATGAGTACTGCAGGCATTCATTGAAGATTTACATAATGCCTATTCTCTGTCTCTCACGTAATGTCAACCTCAGGCAGGAGAATGTATGATAGAACTAAACGCTGTCGAGTGCTGACATTGAGTTAAGTTCCCTTGAAAAAGAGCTCCTACTCCTACGTACTTCACAGTAAGTCCTCACAGCAGTAAAAGAACGCAAAGAAAAACACAAAAGGAAGCTTCGTTCGCTGAAGAAGTGATGAGGGTCTATGTATGACCCATAAAAATTTTGTTTTCACTTTTGTTCCGCCCCCCTACACTGACACACATATACACACACGCACACACTGCAGCACTCCACTATGCCATAACACCCACTCTGTGAAGCGTAGAAGAGAGAAAGCCCAGATCTAATCCACTCTGGACTCCCACAGCGCCTTCAGTTCTTACACAACAGCCGCCCCCTCTGTTAGAGCAAGTTTGTCTGCGTGTGTGACGCATAGGAGGGAGACGACACTTCATCCTACACTGGCACATACCAACTGACACACAAACACATACACACATGGAGCGATGCTGTCACCAAGGCAGGCAGCCCGGCCAATGTATAAACCCCACAGAAAAGCTCGGAGAGCAGGAGAGCAGACGAGACGTCAAGATGTGAAGATGGAGACAGACGGAGAAGGCAGAGGGAAAGTGATTGAGAGAGAATCAGAGGAGACAAAAGAGTGCACAACGCTTTGACACCGCTGTTCATCTTCATTAAACAGTTCTTGCTGAAAGGTTTCAGGATGGCACCGGAGCACAGATCTGACTGAGGACAGCAGAGACAAGCTGAAGGTGTGTGAGACACATGGAGGGTAAGTTCGCTGCTGTGTCACTGAGATGCTTACTGTAAGAAGAATCTGGATACTTTTATGTACAACATTAAAGACTTGTTATGAGAATATTATTATTACCTGATGTTTTTTTTAGTTGCTGGTCATTATGTATTTTTATTATAACTGAAGAAGCAATTACTTTCTGTTTATATCTGCTTTAATTTATTTGGTGTTTTTTTTTTCTTCTTGCATTTGATGAATAACTGTTTTCAAGTAAAACTAAAAATCCCTTTCTTTGAAATTCTCCATCTTTTCAACAATTTAAATACTTTTACATATTTTACTTTCATGTTTTTTTTGTTTTAGCATAATTCTGCTAAACAAAAAACAAACATACTACAGCACAGGGCAAGATTTTGTGGGTTGTCATGGCAATTGTTTTATTGCATGCGTGTTTTTAGTTGGTTTTAAATTATTTTTCTTGATTTCAGTGTTGAATTTTTGAGTGGTTTGGACTTGACCTGTACACACTGCCAATACATTCTTGAATAAAAGTCCAGGCTAAAGCCAGTTTCCTGCTTTCCTACTTTGCAATGTTAAGTCTATTGCTGCTCCCAGGCTCAATAAAGCTCACATAAGATAACCTTGTATGACTCTGAAGGTTTTCTACAGCCCTCTTGTGTTTTGCTGTGTCCTGACACTTCAGCGTTGTCAGGTAGGTTCTTCCTCCTTACAGAGCACTTCAAGAAGCAGGGAGCCAGAGCAGTTGCCATGGCAGCACTGGAGGAGCGGAGGTGCTCCTGGCACTGTGACGTACAACAGCGGTACATCTACGTTCTACCACAAACCCACTGACCGACACCTACACCTCCAAAACAAGAAAAGACCGTTCACAGCCTATACAGCCGAAGCATTCCTAACAAAAAGTCTGTCAATATTCATAAAACTGATCAAATGACTCCACTGCAGACCTGCCAATCCGCCTACATCCTAGGGATATAAAAAACCCCTCTCAAAGCCCTCCATGTATCTCATCCTCCTGCCTCTTCCCACTCATACCTGCCTACACAGCCCCACGACACAGCCATGTGGGGCACATGTTATGGAGATATTTTATGTAATTCCAGAAACCAACCTATAGACCATCAAACAGCTGTGGTGCAAAAGACAGCAGACACCTGTGTGTCTGAACCCTAATAAATTACAAGATACTTAAAAATACACTTGGAGCATTTTAGTATTTTCTTTAGGCCGTTAAATAAACTACAAACTTTAACATCCTTCCACAAATTAACATAAAACACATTTTAGCTGGAGTTTGCAGCTCATGAAAAGCGAATGGAGCATCTGTTAAGAAATTTGAGATGATACACACAGTTAATATTATAGATATGAATAGCAATACTGATACCAAAAGAGGCTATGTGTTTTTGGACTGTCCTAGCATCTATCCTTTGTGCATATGCCCTTGTGAAATACAAGAGGAAGGTTCGCTACGTCCCTGCTTGCCATTGCGAATGCCGAGAGTCGACCCAGTCTCCCACGCATGCAGCATTAATAGACACATCAGCAGCAGGGCTGCAGTAGGCAGTGGGTGTCCTCTCTACATTCAGCTCTCACTGCTCACTAAGAACTGTGAAGCCTCACAAAGCTCATGATGTTAAAGCAGGGATTTTTAAGCATTTGCGCTTGAGCTTGTCACAGCTTTACAGATTTTTACCTCACCAATAAACATTGCTTTGTCTTTACAGATTTCTAGAATGATCTTTAAATATCAAAACGTGTGTCAAGTCTACTGTCAGACACCAAAAAAAGCAAAAAAAAAAGATGATACATTAAGCGCTTGATTGAAATCTTTAATTAAAGAAGAAATGTAACCAGAGATATAATCAAATAAGTAGCACAAGATTACAGAGATTTTACAAATGAAAAAAATCTGTGTACAGTCAACTAGAAGTTACAGTAGATATTGGAAACATTTACTCTCCTGAGAAATAACAGTTCACTCACTCTAATGACTTGGAGTGATTGTCTATACCCTCCTGTTCGGTCTATTTATCGTAGTGAGCATTGATGCGGTTGGTGGATGTTAAGGTATCGATGACTCATGTTCAGAGTTTATACAATTCACTCCTCTCTGTCGTTCCCTCTCTTCCCTCTTTATGACACATACATACACACGCACTCTGCCTCACACTGCCCACAGTATGTTATATAAGTCTTACATAAACCCTTAATCGACACTTTTTGGTGATCAGCCTCACAGCCACACCTCTCCAGAATGCCATCATAAAAATCAAACATATATACATGAAAGTTCAACCTCTTTTAAGTACACAATAAACAGTATATGAAGCAGCACTGACAATCACAAGAAATATGTATTGTCCATTTCAATATTTAGTCTGCTGACAGGACACAAAGACAGCAGGAAGGTTTACAACAGCTTGTTGTAGGCATGCATAGGGGTGACACAGTTCCACACTCCAACAACATAAACAGTCAAAAGATTTGATTTTGCATTAAAAAATAATGTTATTGCATTGCAGTAGGAAAACTTTAATATATAAATAATTGGTTTAACAGGCATGCTCAGATTGGTCCTAATAATAACTTAAATAATTCCTCACTCCTGAGAAACACCCTAAGTGACATCTTTTGCTGGTTAAGTGTACTGACAGTGTGTGAGCAAGAGAGTAACTGCTAAAAATTCATAGCACCCTTATTGATCATATTGATCATGGCTGTTATTTTCCTCTGACATTGTAATTCTGACAATTCGTTATTATTTATCTGCTTTCCAAATGAACAGCGACTGAAAAGACAAAAGGTAGTGAAAATCCAAATCCATCCAAAAAGGCCATTTTTTTTAGTAAAAAACAACATTTCTATTTTTGTTAGCTGCCTTAAGCTACAGTTTGATCACAGCTAATGTTAGCAATCAACCAATTCCTAGATAAAATCACCTTTAAACTTAGGAAAGGCATGATTTCCTAGCTTGTTCCTATCCATACTATAAGTGGTAGCGTTGGCTGTTTTCAAACGCTCGCTAATGGGTGAATACAAATGTTGTTTAAACTGCAAAAATGTCCCAATCGCCCTCTGGATTTCCTCTCTTTTTTTCTTGTCATTTTCTTATCATCATACTGATCTTTAGTGATGAATGATAGTTATATGTCAGATTCCATAGGGATGTCAAATGGCCACATTATGAATATGGTGAATGGCTGCTGCTGGTGGCTTAGTTTTAGCGGTTAGTAAACAGGCAGCGCATCTTGTTTGTGAAAAAAAAAAAAAAAACCTTCCCTGTTGTTGACGTGCAATCAGGCTCTTTTATTTTTGGGAAGGTTTGTGCCTAAAACGACTCTCTTTGTTTTGCGCAGCTATGATGCCGCCGTAGTCAGGACTTGTAAAGACATCCCTATCAGAAAGAACAGACCCGACAAGTCTTTAACTGCTCCCTGAAGAGGAAAAACACGAGAGAGCAGTGAATAGATGGAGTTCACTGCCATGCTAACATGAAACAGATAAAGGTGCATGCATATGAAAGAAAGATCAAGGAAGAGAGGTAAATATTTCTGTATCTCAGACACACAAAAAGCAGCTCAAATATTTGATCTATCCACCGTAAAGTATTACTTTGTGTAATTTAGGCTCTGTGTGAAATCTGACTTTGACAGTAGGTTATTTGGTCAGACAGTAAAATCAGTGTTGTAGTAAACATGAGGACATGAGATGATAATTTGTGGGATGTACCTGTGTGCGAATGCCAGCGCGTTTTGCGCAGGACCTGGAGAGGTGTCTGAGTTGGGAGTCGTGTCACAAATATCATCAGTACCATTGATGCTCTCCATAGGCGGGGTCACGGGGGTCAGAGGGGATGAGAGCTCACCTACTGGAGACTCCTAAAAGTGAGAAAGAGTTTCAGCTGTTACTGTCAACAAGAATTCAACAATCAAACTGACATTTTTTGATCACCCAAAAAATTGATTATTTATTTCAGTTATAGTGTTTAATAGTTAGCCAATTTCAAGATGACAGTTATAAAAGCAAAACAATAGTTTAGTCAAATTTAGACATATGACACTCTATTGAACATTTCAAAACATCAGACGTTAAACCTATAGTGAGGTCACAAAAGCTTTAATACACGGTCATTTTTAAGTTTTAATAACATCTGTTTTTGCCTAAACACAGTCTTAGGTATGTAAATTGTTTATTTAATGATACTAAAGGCAAGTAAACAAGTCAATAATATATTTGACATTTTTTTCTTTAAATATCTGACTTTTCTTGTTTTGCAATATCAACAGCCCAAAGGTTAAAGGCATTTATTGAAGAAAAAGAAAACAGGTGGGCAGAAATACACGTTTTACAAACATGAACCACCAAGGTTTGTTTTATTCGATGAAAAGACTTGAACAATAACATAATAAACAAAGGAGTTTTAATAGATGTTCTGACATTTGACAGATTTATAAAGCAACTAATTATATACAAAATACTGATTAGTATCAATTCTAAGAATAATAATATTAATAATTTATAATAATATTATGTCAAAGGTAACTAGATGTATAACAAAGTCAAGTGATGATAACAACCTCTTGAAAACAACAAGGTGAGTCTCATACATTTATATGATTCATACTGTCCCTGTAACGTACTGACGTGAGATACCCAACAGGTGCATTTTTTATGTTTTAACAGATGGCGGAGATGCTCTCTCTGACACTCATAAAGCTCATGTTGTGTTGTTAAAAACTTTAGCCTGCAGTGAACTGCTCTACACGCCTATAGGCCAAGAAATAGACAGATTAGTGCTTATCTTTCTGTCCCATAGCACACAGAATTACACGACAGACAAATCATTTAGCTTCTGCTCGTACATTAAACAAATCTATTAAGACACAGGGCTCGGGCACTACACAGTTGCTCAATGACATGGCATGTAGCCTACATCTCTAATGTACAAGAAGGAAGTGAGCGATAAGAGAGGGATTATGGATGGTGTTACATTTTGCACTCTGCATTCATTAGTATACTATTTAAAATCTGTTCATGGTGCACTTCCACTGGAACCTGTAGCCTAATGGGACCAGCACATAGCATTTAGCTCTCAGCACAATTATTTATTTCTTATGTTTTAGCGCTTCATTTAGAGAACAGAGAAAAGAGAGGATCTGGAGGGAGGCATGTGGTTGAAACAATCAGTAGAGAAACAAAGCAGACCGCTCCAGTAGACCACTGCAGGCTTAAAGCAGAGAGGCTGCGGTCTTTCTTTACTGATGCACAAAGTATTTTTCTTTTGTGTCACTTCAGTGTGGTAGTGACCTGTGCACATGCCGCCTTCAAACCCTGTTGAGAACCCAGCTGTCCACTTGGCTTCATAAAGAAACACCTTCCCCGCCCATGGGAAGCCCAACACTGTAACATTTCAGTCCATGTGGGCAGCAGCGTTTACCGTATTAAAGTGCAGTGCAGCAGGGTGCTGCTCCTCCACCCTCCATAATGAACTGACAAGGACATAAAGCCAGTTAACGGCCTCTAGATTAAAGAAAAGATTTCTCTGGAGATTTGCCGCTGGAACAAGCTAATTTTCTCTCCCTCACAAAACACTGTAAGATAGGGTGCAGAGAAATACACACTGGCTAATTGTGCACTTATTTATGGGGTGTTATGAGAGAGCTTTGTCTTCTTCACTGTATGTAGGGACACTTTCTGGAACATGTAATATTTTTGCATATTATGTAAGGACTGTCAGTTTGCACCTCGGTGTAAGGACCTCCAAGGGGGCAGGAAAATTAAGTTTAAGGGTCCTATGGTACGCCTGGCGCAAAGCGTCTGGTGTCTTTCCTATTTTCCGCCTGATGCTGATGTCATTCTCACGCCCAGCACCCACATCATTTAAATAGCCAAAGAACTTGCCCAGGGTAATGTTCGTCTTAAAGGGATAGTTTGTTAATTTTCAAAGGGGGTTGTATGAAGTACTTTTCAATAATAAGTATATTTGCCACAGGATATATTCCAGTCACCGTTGCCCCTTGAAGGAGAGGCCAGACAGAGTGCAGGCACGAAAGCTAGGCTATACAGCTTGCGCCACATAATTTAACGAATTTTAAGAAAAAATGGTTTAATATGGGGAAAATGTATTTTTCTTTTCATGGGTTCTATAAGAATGAGCTATTTTTACAGCCAATGTGAAACACCGTTTACTGCAAGAGGATCCTTTTATGGACCAGAGCACACCGAGGAAAAACTCTCTGCAGATGGAGACTCAAAGTCTGAAAGACAGAGGGGGGAAACTTCTATGGGCACTGGAGGACAGGAGAAGTTAGCTGGTGGTGCAGGTGTGTAAACTGTGAGCGTGTGCACAAACCCAGAGAGGTATTGGGACTTGGTAACAACAGTGTTTCAGAACCTTTCAGAATCAGACGATACCAGTGGCTAACAAATGCCTGCAGTCTGCATGTCTCACCATGCAGAGCTCTCTGGCGTACTGAACACTGATCTTTTACCGACCTTCTTCAGAATTTCAAAAATTTTTATTAAAAAAACAGACGACCACAATGATTTTACTTAAATGACTTGAATGACGGGAAAACATTTACATTCATGTGCTAAATATATCTTTTATTGAAGGGAAGGATCTGAATACATCTACTCCCATACATTTTTAATTAATTTTCCAAATGTCCTTTGTGTCTTTTCTCTGTCTGATTATTTTCTAATTCTCTTAATTTACCTTGATCAGAAATTTCATGAAACAAAATCACCAAAGGGAAAGTCACTCTTTGCTTGGCATGATCAATATAAACAAAGAGCCTGTTACAGCAGGTGATGAGAAGTAGTAGTAGTAGTAGGTTAACCAAAAAAAAGGTTGAGAATTCGGGGGGGGGTGAGGATTATGACCATACCTGAGAAGGTGACGTGGCCATCTCCATCTTGTCTTGACTCTTCTCTTTAGCAAGCCGCGCCGCCTCTTTATACTCTGCAAACTTCTCTGCGAACTGAACACAGTGAACATCCATCAGTATGGACTGGAATGCTTACAAACGTGGATTAATCTGTGCACTAAAGCCCTATATGCACACACACACACACACACACACACACACACACACACACACACACACACACACACACACACACACACACACACAAACAGCTCAGTGTCTAACAGGTCAGACATGAAGCCAGAGGAAGGTTAGGGACACACAGTTGAACTTAGAAAAGAAGGCCCTTCCCATAATGCCTGAACAGAAACATGAGCTAACTAGGTCAACGTTACACACACACACACACACACACACACACACACACACACACACACACACACACACACACACACACACACACACACACACACACAGAGAGCAAAGCAGACTTTTTTCATTGTGGTTTTGAGTTGAAAAAAAAAACTTTAATCAGAAGTTGTCTGTGGCGCAAGTTTTATTCCGGGTTATTAAGTGGAGAGCAAAGATACATGCAGTCAGTCCAAAGCAGTAAGGCGAGCTGAGCTGGGGGGCTTTGAACAGATATAAACACTCTGGCACTTTCACACACGCACATATCCCAATGCCCCTTTAGGGTGGTGGGTTCATCACCAACACTGTTATCACAGTGTTACAGAGTTATTTAGTATATTCAGCACTACTGAGGGCCGGGCGTTGAGGAAATCAAATTGCTGCTGGAGCCGCCTTTAGTGGAGCTGAAACACGTAACTCAATATCATTTCACTTCAGCGCGTTATAATAGTTCTTGGAACAGTGGTCTAAATTCAGTATTGCCAATCTAAGTGCTCCAGGAGTGTTGTCTCTGCAGTCATCTGAGAAGTGAATCTAATTACTTCAATTTTAATTCACAGAAAATACATTTTATTGGCAGGTGGGTGTCTGTTAAGACTGCAAAAGTATACACCTCAGACACTGTAAATCAGTTTAAATAATGATGAACTCGATAGGCCTCGAAGATGGGAAAATGTAAGAACGTTTTTATAGTAATCTTCAGATCGATAATAAACCAGATTTTAAATACAATTTATCCATAACATTTTTGTTTTTGTCTAAGAACAATTTTGTATGTACAGTACTAAATCACAAAAGGAAAACCGTCAAACTCTTAGAATAGGCTAAAAGTGGACTTTATTTGTAGTGAACAGTATTGTTTACATTTTTTTAATTATTAGGTTCTATTTTAACATATCTTGCGAAGACAACTGACTGAACCTTTTTTTCTTGTAGTTCGACAAAAGAAATTTGAGCATGGCCACCAAGCACGGACCAGTTGGTGAAGAGCTTTGTTTCTTTTTATCTTAATGTAGATACAACAACAAGTTACAAGTTACGTTTCCACTTACATACAGTTTGAGTTCTTATGCGTAACAAGTTAATAAAATTATGACTAAAATAAAGCAGCTGAAAATAAGTTATTTGGAGATCTGACAACTAATTACTGACAGCCTTCAGGTCATGTCACAAGATTGTTTTTATTGTCAAGGACAAAACATCAAACCAGGTTATGTTATCAGCCTCTTAAATATTGTTTTCTCACACTGAGGGTGTGTGTGTGTGTGTGTGAGCGCATGGTTGTGACTGTTGTTGTCCTTGGTTCAAGACAGAGCATATGGTAATCATACCGCAGAGAAACCGACACCTACTCACACACAGCCAAACAAACACATATACAGTGCATACCTCTAATAAACACACAGATACACAAAGAGAAAAGGCTCATTAGGGTTGACTGCTGAACAAATTTTACACTCTGAGAGAAGCTATAGCAACAAGAATAAAAAATAAATAAATGTCAACCTCTCTCAGGGGGAAAAGGTAAAGAAGAAAAGTCTAATTGATGCCAAAGGGTTTGTAGTGCATGCAGTGTGTGTGTGTGTGTGTGTGTGTGTGTGTGTGTGTGTGTGTGTGTGTGTGTGTGTGTGTGTGTGTGTGTGTGTGTGTGTGTGTGTGTGTGGGGGGGGGGGGGGGGTGCAGGTGGTACCTTGGCTAGATGATGCTCAGTGGAGAATCCCAGGCCATACACAGTATTGGCTCGACTGTCTGCCCACTGGCCAAACTTCTGTGAGGTCTTTGTGAACGTCATGTTGGGACTGATGGTGCTGTTGATTATTGCCTGTAGGACAGAGACACACCACAAAATAAATATAACATTATACATAAACTTTAGCATTGTTGTGTGAGCTTTTTGTATGTCTGAATGAGCATTGTTCAGACAACATATCAGAGGAAAACATTGTTTAACATCATTTTGTTTGAATAACAAATGAAAAGTTGCATCTTTTTCTTTATTTTGAATTGTTGGTATCTGTGCCTCAATTGTATTGTATCTAAGGTTCTCCGATCAGTTCTGCTACATTAGTGCTGATACAATTAGTCAATTAATGTATGAGTTGAATAATAAGAAATCAATGTAAGCAAAATGATATTTTACAAGGCACAATCTTTATTATTCTTTTATAATTATTGAACATTCATTGCTTCAAATTTTAAACTTTTGAAGCAACTTTAAACTGAATATTTAAATTTCAGACTGATAGTTGTCTTTGAATGTATGACATGGAGAGGGTGCATTTTACAATGAATAATAGATGAAAAAGTTTTATTAGATATACATTTTCAATTACCTCAAGCCTTGTAACGTTTAGAAAAATTATATTTTTCTGTGTTTGTATTTATGTTTGAGAAAAGAGTACAGACAACTGCTCTATATGTCTACAGTGATGCAGACTCACACACACCAACACAACAAGTTCAATGCGAGGAACAAAAAGTCTTCAGTCACAGACTCTGTTATGCATCAGTGAGAGACACAGAGCAATACACATCAAGAACATGTACCGGTACTTGTACTTGGAAACAGGACAGCAGCAGTGAGCACAATAGAAATCGAAAATGAGGTGCTTACAATTTAATAAAGAAAAACAGTCCAAAAGTTGGTGAGTGCTTAAATAACTGATGGAGCCTTAAAATAAAAGGGTAATTTTGGCAAAGTTTTATATTTTTCGTATATTGTCTTCAAAGGCCTCAGAAGACCAAAAAGGCATTTTTGCTAACAATTATCATCGTGTATTAATTTATAGTAATCAATACCTCTGAGCAGCAGTTCTACACCGGCTGACATGTCACCTTTGTCTCAATGAGCTTTGTTTATCCTAAATACTGTCAAAAGTGAAACAAAACCACTGCATAAAAACATTCTGCCCAACCATTTTCTTTTCTGTTTTTGGATAGTAATAACGTGAAAATGTGTCAAAGAAAATGATTTACAATTTATTAACAATATCTTCATGAGTTGGACATTTCTGAGACATCACAGTATCGTTTTTTGTGTTTTCATAAAAGTTTTTGACATCAATAGGCTATAGAATTCATCCTTCTATTTAATATGGGCTAAATAATACAGCTAACTCTTAATCTTATATAATTCACTTTGTTTAACAACACTAATGGAGATAACACTAATGTCCAATCAATTCACACTGTTGTGTAACATTCTTGTCAGCATCAATACATAATGATCAGCGAGCAGTGTATATGTGTTATACAATAGTTGAATTAAGTGATCAGATATTTATTGAATCCCTGTATAATACGAGATTGTTGCTAAATTGACTATCAGAAATGATTCACACACACACACAGATACAAACACACACTCACTCACTCACTGCTACCCTGCTTCACAGCCCTCTACATTTATCAGCATTCACCTGGCTTCACACTTTCCTGTCTCTGCTGCTCTGCTTCTTTCTGCTAACACACATTTTCTTAATACTCTGCCATCTGTTTCTCCCATTTAACTGTATCCCTCCCAACTCTCCATAACTGGCAGGGAGTGAGTGTGTAGAAATATCCCACCCAGATGACAAACAAATATATCCTGAGACATAAAGCATGGTGCTGTGAAGTGCTGACAAACACACACACACACACATACACACATGCACACACACATGCCCACACACAAACTCTGTGGTTGCATGCATACACACAATGAAACATGAGCTTTCAGTCTTGATACAGGCTTTGATCCTGAGCTCTTTTAAGATGTGTTTGCGCAATAAAATCCAATGGAAAGCGTATTAACATCATTAACACTTGTCCTTGATAACCTGTTTCACACTTTAATATAGCTAATTTGGTGAAAATTAAAGAATATAATATAAAAAAAAATATCACAGTTGATGCAGTAGCAGAGCAGTAGATAAATCTGTGTTTTGTGTCCAACATACTGTGAAAGGTGACCAGTGCCAGTTTGGATCAGCTGCTCACCTTGGTGCCGTCCAGGCTGATGATGCGGTACACGTTGCGTGTGCTGTCATAGAAGTACGACACTGTGACGGCGTGCTTACTGGTGGGCAACCAGTTCTTCTTGGTGTTGGGGTCAATCTGGAAGACATGTGCCCGGGTGCTGTAGATGGGCTGCTCCCTAAAGGGGACGAAGAAGAAGTTGTGAACCTCTTTGTGCCGCAACACCAGCGTCTCTCCAAAACCAACTCCAGCACCAAAACTCCTGTTCCCAACAGGGGAGTCAGATCGCCCTGACAACCGCAGGACTAATTCGCCATCCTCCATAGTTGCAGCACAGAAAGGGAGGCTATCAAATAACTACATGTCTTGTACACAAAGTGATCCTTCAAACTTGAGCAGATTTTCCGAAACACACCGGAATCTCAAACTTCCTTGAAAGCATTATCTCTCGGCTTGCAAAGCAACACATTAAACGCATGCAGCTAATTGAAAGAAACTCTCTCGCTCTCTGTAAGGCAGCCCATCTCTCCCTGCTCTGATATGGGAATGCCTGCAGCACCGAGCGAGGGTCACACTGGGGAGCACAGGGGGAAGAGGAGAGGGTTTAAGGCTAAATATAGACAGTAGGCCACAGTCAAAGACACACCCCACAGGGCTGCAGTTTCCACACAGACAAAAATAATGCATGTGCATATATAAACACAGAGGTGGTGGAATTTTAAATCTGTGTTTCTGCGTGAGTGTACACGTGGATTTGTCCTGTGTGGCTTAAATGTAGATGATTTTAAACCCCATGATTGGCTCGGTTTTGGATGACTTAATTCCTTATTGACCTCTATGTGACACTCAACACAGAGAGAGGATTCGCCTCTTTTACTGTAATGTTGGTGATTATAAAACAGCCATCTTCTTTTTTGACCTCCATTCATACGTCATTCATGCACCACCTTCACCTTTGTGCATTTATCCCCTACTCCTCAGTTTAAAGCCTTCATATATTCCAGCATTGTTGGGACTTCTGTGGTAATATCTACAGTCAGTACACACACGCACGCACACACATACACACACACACACACACACACACACTGAGAGCGCAGGGTGCAGAGGGAGATATTCTGGGCTGGCAGTGCTGGCAGAGCAGTAGATAGAGAAGTGCTTACACTGCACAGAGGGGGTGATGGGGGACATCAAAGACTTGCTGTATAAATGAATATTAAAATTCAGCAGCAGCACCCCTCCTGTGTGTGATTAGCCAAGACTGGGAAAGAAAGAAAAACATGGAGACAGGGAGAGACAGAATGGAGACAGCGAGGGAAGTTAGACAGAAAGAGAATGAGAATGACGGGGAATGTGGGGAGCAGAGGAAGTCAGAGAGTGAATTTGGGGTGATTAATGTCGCTCTACAAAGCTGCTTGTGGAGTACTGTGTGCGAATGATCATAATCATCGACAGCAGTGTAAGTGGCAGAACTGTGAGTAATTTCAGCTCTCTCCCAGCATCACATCTCTCCCTCACAGCCTGTCCGTATGATCCGTGCAATAGCCGCTTGGCAACGGGCATCGTTTTTCATTGCATAATGTGATGGAGCTGTTGCAAATTTTCTTGCTTCTTGTTGCTCGATTGTGTCCCTACCAAACGCAGAAATGATCTTGTGCTTTGATTCTTACATGAAGGCTCGTGCCAAAGAGTTTGGTTCCAAAAAGACGCCCACCAGTTGTCGAAAAAAGTAATACCTACTCCTACAGCAGAACTTTTCAAGACAGCAAAAATAAAATATGGAAAGATAACCGATTCTTTGTGCAAAAATATGAAAATACCATTATTTTATCTACATATGTTGCTTCCTTTAAAAGCAAGGAAAGCCATGGATACATGCTGCCACTTCAATTATTTGAACTGTGATTGTGAGCCTTAGCTTGATAAAAAAAAATGCCAAAAATGGGAATGCATGGAGGTTGATTCAGAACTGGTTGATCCTTTTGCACTCTAGCTATAAACCTTTATGTTAGCATAGAGGCTGCATGGCATCTACAGACACATACAGCTACAGAGACTCAACAGTCAGAAAAAGTGTGACAATTTGGTCTTCCTTCCACCGGCGCATTAATAAACTGTGTATAAGAGGGTGAATGCGAGGACTGAAGCTGCCCATCTCACTATGACATTGAGGACTTTGGAAAAGAAAAGAAAAAGCAAGGGGTTAAACGAGGGGGTATTTTCAATGGGATGTGAATGAGTGGTGAAGTAGTGGAGGAAGAGGATGAGAAGAAGGAGGTGCTCGTTTAGCATGCAGAGGGCAGTGTGTGACACAAGGGCAGGTGATGGAACGTGAATGTTAAAATACATAGAGAAGGCAGGCAGAATGAGGGAGAGAGAGAGAGAGACGGAGAGAGAGTCAGGGTGATGAAGTGAGAGAAGAAGGGAGAGATGAGGAGAGCGTGGAGGAGGTGATGAATGTTGGTGAGGAGAGAATGCGTAGAAGATGATGGAGGGAGTGGGAGGCTCTAAATTGCTACACAGTGTGGTATAAACAATTATGTGAACTATGGCTGTGCTGCTCAAATGTGAACTTTTAGGAACGCAATCAGTGTTCTTATGGAAGACCTCGGTTTAGCGTCAAAGAGTCACATGAGTGGGCTGTGGGCTGGAGATACTTTTGGTTGACTTCTGCAGCAGGCTGATGATGATGGATCGATGGTGTGAGAGCACTATTAAGAAAAGCAATAAGCAGAAAACATGTTGTGTTATTGTTTAATAGGATAAGTACAATTCTAACATTTTTACTAGTGTAAGAATATTGTCTTTGTTAATACTACCACTGAATCATCGATGCTGCAAATGTCGGTAGTAACATGTTGCTGGTTGGTTTTGAGATATTCCTGACATCTGACATCGGTCTGATACGAAGATAGACTAGAGGTTGGTTTTGATTGTCAATACCCATTGATTTCATCAACACACTTCCCCACTTACCTGTAGAGTTGCGTATAAACAGAATAAGTTAAATTTGAGGGTCTAGCTCAGGAAAACAGACATTACAGATACAAAATGAACAGCTCAATTATTGTCATCAGCCATGAGATTAGATCATCTACAGCCCTCATTGTGGACGGTTTTCTTTGGACCTATATTCTACAAGAAAACTCTTGAAAACTGGGGGATCAAACAAAAAAAGGTTTTGAAGGTAAAAATAAATGAACAAACACATCCTGCATGGCTAGATACCAATGTTTGTTGTATTATGTAAGTGAACTTAGCCTTAACCTGTGTTTGAAATGACACACAACTCTGAATGGCTAGGCGCACACACACAAGCGCACGCACACACACACACACACACACACACACACACACACACACACCTCCAGGAGAGGCAACAGGTGTGAGTTGTCCTAAGCACATCTTGTGCTTGAGGGGTTTGATGCACACTGCACAGATGTGAACACTAGAGACACTAGATACATACAAATGCACCCGGACACAGACACTCTGACGTGTCATTTTTATACCTCAAAGGGCTACATTTTAGTTTCTACTTCAATATGTCCCTCTAACTGTTCAGCTGCCTCTCTCTCTGCAAGCATTATTCAACTGGCCATCTCAGGAGAGCTCACTTTCCCTCGCCAATTCCACCCCCATCCGCCTCTGTCTCAAAGTTGTCCTTCAATCCAGAGTTTTTTCATTAATTCCACAGAGCAGGGCTTTAAGGCAGGTAGAGCTTATTTAAGGTAGAGAGAGGTCACGAGAAAGCTTCATGTTGCTGGGAGAGGCTTGTATGACCTGAAATTCTCCTGTAGACATTAACTCTGTCTCTCTGTCTCTCTCTCTCTCCCTCTCTCTCTCTCTCACTCACACCCACACAAACAAGCATAGACACAGGCAGAGAAACTGAGTCCGCCTGTGCATTGATTGTATTTGCCCAAGGAAGTAAAAATGCACCAGAGACTGTTGATAGGCATCTTCAGCCCCATCCAACACTAATGTTCTCCTCTGTGCTACTGTATAACCCCTTGCACTGTAAACGGCTTGGTTTTCACTGCCACCAGGCCGGAAGTGAAATGTAACTCTATCTGTCTGTGACTTTTCTGATGGGCAGGCAGCCAGACAACAGACCTGCTACAGTATATACCGCCTCATGTCATCTGTACCTTGCACATATTCAAACACACTGTGCGCAGCGGAGTGCTTGAATCCTAGTTTAAAATGTATTCCATTGTAAATCAATTGAGTCATTGAGTCAGTTGCATAACAGTAAGTTAGTCACCAGTGTGGCAGGGCCCAGTGGAGAGCTGCAGCTGAGTGGGAGACCGCTGAATGATGTGCTGCCCACACTGTAGGAGGGCAGAGTGGGCGCCTGGGAGGCCTCCAGTGTATTGTAAATAGTTAATGCAGGAGTTTTGGCTGATGCTTCTAAATCTCACCATGCCTGTGCCATATTATTAACCTCCTGCTGTGCAATTAATCACAATGAACTGTGGGAGACAGCTGTTAATGGACGACAGGCTTGGTAAGGGAAATGGACCGCTGAGCACAGGGTTAGGGGACATGCAAATGAGCAGCGCTGCGCACTAGGCGGATCACTGATGGATACATGTTGTGGAGGATGTGTGAGGCAGCGGCCGCTGTGCTACCATAGAGACAGGAAGCCACTTTCTGTCACTGAAGCACTGTGTAGCGTTGTAGCTGCTAACATTCCCCTGCTCCTGACATTTACTGTTCCTAAACCTGCACTAGAGCAGGAACAAAATGTACAGTAGATCAGACCACATATCTCTGTTTGAGAATATTAGAGAGAAATGCTGTTGTCACATTATGCTTTCTTTCACATTACATAACTGTCTATAGTGTTGCTGAGTTAACACAGGGCACAGACCCACAGAATCGGATCTTATTCACTCTATTATTATTCTGAAGCAATAATGGGGATTTGAAATCTTCTTCATTTTTTTTTGACGAACCACTGTTACTTGTATTTTGTGAATCAATGCACATAAAGCCACTAATTAATCTTGAAAGTTTGACGATGAGGCAACTTCTGTACCAGCATTTGTGATTCAGCATTTTGGTCCGAAAGAGATTTTTAATTTTACCAATAGAGCGTGTACAATGGGGGAAAGAGGGTTCATCTGCTTATATATTTAGCAGATTTGGTTGTTTGAGTGTGCAGCACATTCAGGCCACAAGAAGATTCCCACTCAAGAACAAATAGTCAAACTACTTTATTGGGCATATAAGAAGTAATATAAGATAGATATATTTTTACGCATACACATCAGGGTCAACGTCTGTGATATGCGTGGTGTTGTTTCCATGGCAGGGAAGTTCATCCGCAGCTGATTACATTCAGAAAGGAGTGATAAGGGACTCAGCCTGTGGGATAATAACCACACTTACCCCATTGTTGTGGTCGACATGACAGGCGACTCTTGACCACTGACTGGTCCTTCTCGCTGGTGATAAAAACGTGTCTCTCGGATTGCCTGCTGCTGCGTATGAAGGTCTTCTCTCTAAGCGACAGCCTTCACTGTATCACCTTCGGTGGATCTGCAGGAATTTGATGACAGCTGCTCCATTCCCCTACTCTTGTCACCGTGCTAAATCACAGATACATGTCGTTCTTCACATGGCACGTAAAATCAGATCATCTTCTCCTCCCTGGGCTTTGAGGGGCTGGTGATGGAGCAGCAGCGGCAGGAGCGCGGTGGAAGATCCAGCGCTGGGTCCAATGGAGATCCGAAAGGCGCCCTACTGATGTCGTGTGAACTACAGATCCTGGCTGGAAGGGTGGAGAAGCCGTGCTGCCTGAACTGGGAAAGACAACCCTCATTTAGCCAGAAGATAACGCACAGCATCACACTGTCCACCCGCGTCTATCCCCCCCTCCTCCTCTCTCTCTCATTACCATAGGCTCACAGGCTACACCCCCACTCAAGCCCAGACTACAGCTATTTCACAGCTACTCTAGTCTCAGTATGACCAGTGCTTTTTTTAAATTTATTTATTTTATTTTTTTATATTATGCCGATATAAAATGCATTTCTGGGATTTAGCCTACACCATCTTTTGTGCTTAAGCAACATCAATTTATAGGCTACCGTTTCTATTGGCTCACGTGACAAATCCCTGCTGTCCTTATCGATACTGGAGGTGGCATGTGGACTCGTGTGTATGGGTTCAAATTTCCTGCAGTTTCTTTGCTAAAGCTGTATGCGTTACTTATTGATCTGAGCCATATCCACGGACCCCTTGTGCATCCCGCCCCCCAAATCCTCTCCTCATATGGCTGATGCATCCTCTTCCCTCCCACTCAGATCACTGTCAGTATTGAACTGCTTACGTCATCACACCGTCCTCCGCAGTGACGTCACTGTATGCTCAAGGGACTGATGCCATTTGATGCTTTGTTATCACAAGGTTTTAATATGTAATTTGCCTACTTAGATTTTTGAATTAGGAGCAGCATAGTCACTGTATACTTATCTAACAGTTCAATGCTGATCACAGTTTAACACAATAAAAACAATGAATATGTCGATAGGTTAATTAACTCAGCTGATCCTCAGTAGTATTTAGGGCTATTTGTAGATAGACACCCATCTATTTTCATCTGGTTTGCTTCTAAATGACAATGTTCTTTATCTGATTCTCTTAATACAGTTCTCTGTGAGCTCTTTTACGAGTTTATGTTAAATAACCAACTGGTTGTATCAAGATGAAAAAGGGGGGAGGGGGGCTTAGGAAAAAAAAATAATGAACCTTAATCGAAAACTTAGTGGACAGTGGAAACTTATTTTTGAAGGTAAATTAACCCATGTGGTAAATATATAGGCTGCATAGTGAACGTATGAAGTGATGATGGATTGATGGGTGAAAGTGTATCAACACCCTCTGAGCACTTAATAAAACGTGACAGAACTCAATACAATAGTTAAAAAATAATACAGATTCAGAGAAGGCCAACAAAGTTAGAAATTAACTGTCTGTTTATTTAGTGCCCTTGACACACAGTGACTGCATTCTTATTGTTTTCCTATCTTTCCTAACTAATAACTAAGTTAACTATGGGACTTTGTGAGGGCAAATTACGCAAAATATAAAACCAAATTATGTTATGTTTACAACACTAAAAAAAGCTTGTGTGGATTTAGAAGTTGAGTTCAGTGTTAATTTGAGACATAGGCGTATAAAATATCGTCTAATATCTAATATGTACAGTAATTGTCAAAGTTGACCTACAGACAATAGAAAATGGATTATGTGACGATTGGCATCGTTATTTAACTGATAAGCACTGCAGGCTTATCTCTAAACTCTGCATTCAAATGAAACTAATTTGGATACCGACATCATCAGTTAAGATAAAGATAAGATAAGATATACTTTATTCATCCCAGTAGGGAAATTTAGGTGTTCCAGCAGCCAGCATACACAACACAACACATATATACATACATATCCCACCCATACAATAAAAACATGAGCCCACTATACAGTTTGATATATGATATATGCAACTCAGGCTAAAGTTTAAAAGTTTAAATGTCTTCTGTCCTTACTTAAAGGGGAGTCGTTATAAAGTGCAATTGCAGTAGATAAAAAAGTATTTTTAAATCTGTCCTTTTTGTAGCCTCCCACTAAAAACACTCTTTTGTTCACACACAAGATTGTGTAAAGGATGCATGTTATTGTCCATAATGTTCAGCAGCTTCTGTATCATCCTCCTCCCCCCCATCACCACCTCCAGGGGCTCCACAGCAGTCCCCAGCACAGAGCCAGCCCTCCTAATCAGCTTGATAAGCTTTTTAGAGTCACAAGCCCTGATGCTGCTGCCCCAACACACGGCTGCAAAGAAAATGGCACTTGCCACAACAGTCTGATAAAACATGGATAACATTTTGCTAGTATTGATGTGATATAACCTACTGTTTTTTTTTCCTTTTCTTTTAATGTTGTGTTTTTTCTTTCAAAACTAAGTTTAATTGTCAATTTTTATTCACGAAGCACACTATAGATCGGCCTTTTTTAAATTGTCCTTAGGACGGATTTTTCCTTCAGACGACTAAAAGCCGCGTCCCCTTTAAATCGAATTCCACTACGTCACGGCATCAACGCGGAAGGTAGAGGAAAACTAGCACCTGAACAAATCAAGCTTTGTTTACATGTGACACGGTACGTTTTGTGTTATTGGTTCAACGTTTTTAACATTTAGTAACACGTCTCCACATACACGTATAAGAATATTAAAAAAAAAAGTTACGTTATGTTGTAATAACATCCAAAACGTCCCTGGAATCGGCTTCACTTCACTCGATCTGAGCTAACGAGAGTTAGCACGCCTTGCTTTCTGTCAGCGCTAAGTTTCGGTTTCCTCAGTAACACAGTCGTGGCATTACATTTATAATCCGGGAATGAGTTCAGTGACAGTTGCAACATTTCAAACAACAGCAATTACCAACTGTACGGTCGCATTGCTGTTTTGTTTTTCAGTAAATCCGCAGAGTTGATGCTGGAGCTCAGTGAGGAACATGTACCCCCGCAGCGCAGCGTCGAGGGGGATGTCAGCCTACAGTGACGGCCTCTACCCGCCGCCCCCTGTGCCCCCTGTGCCCCCTGTGTACTACGACTACAACCACCGAAGTATGCCCGACGTCAACAGGTGAGCCTGGGAATCAACATAATGCCCTGATGTGCTCGACATTAGCACCATCTTTATCACCAATTCACTGTTTTGGTCCGTGAAGTAACACACGCCTGTCTGTTTGTAGCGTCCGTGATCCTGGTTTGGAGAGGTTGCCAGCATATGAATGGAAACCTCCACCGACCCCCTCTCCAGCCCAGTACCGTCAGACACCCACCTTAACCAACAGACTCAAGTTTGTACTTCTACCATTTGTATATGACTGATGTAGTCTGGGGATCGTTAGCCTGTATTTGTTATCACATTATGTTATAAATGTAATGCGTAAAACTAGTTTAGTCTCTGTTGGTAATCTGTGCTATTTGAGTGCACTGTGAGCCATCGGAAGAAAACAAAACTCCCTTTTGTTTATTAAGATCAGCTTGTGCCAGACTGGAATGTGTTATCTGGAGAGAGAACTAACCTTTGTAAAGCATTTGTATTTTTGCGACCCAAACTACATGCTACCATCTATCTGCAGGGTCTATAACAGTAGGGAGCAGTATTTCAAACAATAATGCCTTTAGCACAATGGGGGCTCTGCATTCCTATTTTTTATTCATCAAAACAGAGACTGACTTAAGTACAAGTTCATTCATCATTGCAATGTGATTCTGTATCATTATTTTTTCTTCTAGGAGGCAGAATGATGACTACAGAACCCCGGTGTTGAAGCGCCAACGTCTTGACTCCTCTCCCCACCCGTTAATAGGCTCCCCCCTAAATCAGGCACCTCACCCACTTCGTTCTGCCCATGCAGGGGCGGGATCATCAGGATCAGAGTTTGATCGCTCTTATCCTAGCCCATATTCCCATCCCAGCCCACAACCACACTCCAGCCCACGCCCAAGCCGCCACCCTCAAGTGCCTGCTATCCCAGAAAGCTCAAACAGCCTGCAGGATTATGTTAAGGACAAGGTAGTGTACGTTTAGAATGCTTTATCCTTCAGCTGATACACATCTATTATTACAATGGGCACGTGCAGGTATCCATGAATAAATCAGGTGCTTGTTTTTGTGCCCCCAGTTGAGTGGGCAGATGCTGGAGTTGTTTGAGGCATGCCAACAGCAATCTTCCGATTTGATCCGTAAGGAGAAGTGCCGGACACAGCTGCAGAAAGACATACAGCGTGTCTACGCAGGTGTGCATGAAATACACAGTCACTCGCCGTTCTGAATTTCTGTCAGTGTCCTATCTCACAAAGTTATTTTCTGGCAGTGGCACGACTTTATTTGACTGGATCCTCTATGAATGGACTGGGATGCCGGAGCAGTGATGCTGATATGTGTCTTGTCATCAAGGGAAATGTGAGTATGTCTATCTCTGTCATTTAAAATGAGTACATTCATAGAACACCCCCCTCCTCCTGATCTCATGCTTCATGTCTCTGTTTCAGAAAAGACCTGATCCCATTCAAGTGCTCTCTGTCCTCCAAAGGTTGTTCAGATCACTGTGTGAGTAATAATAATAATAATAATATCAATTCATTTCTCATTACCCTCTTACTTTGTTACTTAGCTTTGCTGCTTATAACTTACACATTTATTCATCAGAAACCTAAAGAAAACTGTAATCAATACTTGATTATCTTAGAAGCATTGTTCATGTTCTACAAAGACTCCACCAGGTGGAGCTATATACCAAGTATAAAAGGTTTCATCTTTTTGAAAATGAAACCAAAACCTGCATAAACCTAATCCTGTTTGTTTTGATTTATAGCATATGTAGAGAGGACTCATCTGATCAGGGCCAAAGTGCCGATTCTCAGGTTCAGAGAGAAAGGCAGGTAGGAGCAAAAGAGTTGTTGAATCCTTCTTTTACAACGTCAGTAAGACGTCAGAAAGTGTTTACATGGCTTTTTAATATCTTTTTTTTATTTCTTCTATCCTCTTAAGTGATCTGGAGTTTGATCTGAACGTCAACAACACAGTGGGCATCAGAAACACATTCCTTCTGAGGAGTTATGCCTATGGTGGGTGACCTTGATCGTTAACCAAACTTTTCTAAATATATTTAATACAGTTTAATTCAAGTCTAAGGCTATTTGTTAAACCAGCAGCTAGTAGTGCATGTTCTACTAAAAAAAAAAAAAAAAAGAAATATGTAAACATTTGTTTTAACTTGCTTTGTTGTTTTCTTTTTCTGTTATCTCTCAGCTGATCTCAGGATAAGACCCATGATCCTTGTAGTCAAGAAATGGGCAAAGCACAATCAAATCAATGATGCCAGCAAGGGAACTTTGAGCAGCTACACACTTGTGCTGATGGTGTTGCACTACCTCCAGAGTAAGTACATTCATGCACACATGCAAGACCTTGTTAAGTCTCGTTTCTTTTTTTTACATGTTATCTCACCCTTTGTGTGGTGTTTTATTTACAGCTCTAAAGGAACCTGTCCTTCCATCTCTGCAGAGGGACTACCCAGTAAGTGTTTCCATTGTTTTTGTTTTGAAGTCTTGATTCATATCGTAATTCAGCTATGAAGTCGATCACTACATTTAATATGCAAATGACTGGAAATACAAATAGAAAAAGATGCCTTTTTTGTTTGTAAAAGGATATTCCTGCATCCCTTTAACTTTCCCCCATGTATCATAAATGTCCATTTGTCCTGGGCTTGACTTGCAGGAGTCTTTTAATCCCTTCATGGACATCGACATGGTTCCAGAGGGACCCAAATACGTCCCCCCATACAGTTCCACAAACCAGTCCTCTCTGGGAGATCTGCTTCTGGGATTTCTCAGATACTATGCCACGGTCTTCAGGTATCTCCTTACTTTACATGACTGAGTCTAATGTTTCAGATGCACCCATGGTCACTCTTCCTGCGTATTTCCTTTCTCCTTTTCTCTTGTCTCTTGCATCTCTTAAGTCCCCAGCTCTCCTCCTCCCTCTACCCTTTACCTTTTTTTCTGGTTTCATGTGTCTGGGTAAAGAGCAGGAGCAGGTGGGACCTTTGGCCTTACACAGCACTAGCATGACATACCATGATCACTGTGTTTACGCTTTTCTGTGCTACCTTGCCACACTGAAGGTTGAACCAAAAATTCCACTACCAAACATGTATGCACAGATTCTTTTCATGGGTCCTACAAGTACAGTGTTTCTTCATCATTTTCTAATTCCTAGCCATTAGTTGAATACAACAATGTCAATAAAGTGTTCTAGTTAAGTTGTAAAGATTAAAAAATCCCTTCAGTGTAACAAAGTTCAAACATTTAATACTTCAAAATAGAAAAACAGATGATAACACATAACTAGAAAAAATATTATTATTTTACATGTATTGTAACTTTTAACATGAAATGGCTTTCATTGTTCTCTGAGTTGAAGCTTCTTGTGCTTGGATAAAACTGAATTCTTCTGAAAATATCCCCTTTGTTGGCAGGACTATGTATTTTTTGTGTTGTTGATTAGTCTCTGGTATAATTCTTGAGACGCTATCTCTTTGTATGTATTAACAGTCTTATAAGCCTTTCCATTGCATTGTTTTTCTTTGTCTTTCAGTTGGGATAAGCAGGTGATCTCGGTTCGAGAGGCCAAAACTTTCCCCAATAACAATTCTCGTGAGTGGAGAAACAAATTCATTTGCGTGGAAGGTAATCATTTCATTGGACATGGCATGCACTTATCACCAACCCCTATGAGTAACTGAAGCAGCATTATAAGAATTGTGACCAGTAATGCTACAAATCCAGCAAGCGACATTATTCTCTTGTGTTTCAGAGCCATTTGAAAGAAACAATGTCGCCCGGGCAGTCCATGAGAAGATGAAGTTTGAAGCCATTAAAGCCCAGTTTGCTGAGGTACAAACCATTCCCGACAAGTGTTCACAGCTGTGGGCCAGCCATAAATGATGAATAATCCTGCTTCTCATCTCTTTGTGTCTGAACAGTCATGGCGGATACTACGGCAGAGGAAGGACCTGAACTCGATCCTCCCAGTCAGAGCCATCATTAATGAGGAGTCTTCCAGGACATGAGGGCTTCTTCTAATGAGCCGAGCTGACGGGAGTCTTCTGCATCAGAGGGACCTTTAAGGATGTGCTGAGAGAAAAGCCCTGTTGCCTCTGCATCTCAAAGTCAGAACACCTCTGGTATTCTGAACTCTCTCTCTCGCTGCCTCGGTATCATTCACAAACTGTAGGTTTGTGGCTGTACATATTGAAATACTGCACTCACTTTCAAATGATTTGCAGACTTTGCCAAATTATTCTTATAGATGATAAAAATACAATGTTTGTGCAGTGACACCAGAGGAAGGTGATGCTTCTACATGGCCTTCTGTTCAAACCCACAAAGCCTTCATGGGAAGAATTTAAGTTTACGGACATGAATGAAAATATATAAAATACATTTGGAACTTTCTCATATTTGAAATTAGCTTTATCAGAAGAAACAGCATTTAGGTTCAACTTATCTCAGCTAAGTTAAATTCATCTCATCACAGTTTAAGCTGTAACCTCTTTGCTAGAGGTAAACTATACAGAGACAATTTCTAGAAGAATCCAACAGTTTGGTTCTGCCACGTATAATAAGCATTCAGTATGTTGTCTTCAGCCTTTTGAGACCAACTTGTAAAATCAAAGCTTTTTTTCTTCAGTTTTTAAGGTAAGCAGGGATGCTGTTCTATGTTTCAAACAACACACGTTCTCTCTACAGCTTCTTTTCACAGTCTATACGTTTCTCTTCAGAATACAGCCTTTGTTGTTAAGTGATGGTTAAGTCATACTATGATGGTCAAATCAGGACTGGACTGGAAATTCCCCTATCACTGCTTCTGATGTGTTGCACTCACGTCATTAATCTGGTCACTTTCCTATACTGGGTCATTTTAGTTCAACCGTTTCTTTCTTCCTGAATACAGACGTGTCATTCATTCATTGTCAGTTCACCACTATGTAAGTTATTTGTTCATGTGCGACTTCATCGATCTTTGTGTTTGGGATTTTTCTCTGTTCTATTTGTATATTTTGTAAACTACTGACTTTTAAATGTTTATTTAAAAAAAAAAAAAATTAAATCTCTGAATCTGTTTGATTGGTTTGAGATTATACTTTTGAGCTCCTTGTGAATTATTTGCTTTGCAATTACAGTAGATGTGCCAAAGTTACATTAGATTGTGTGTCCTTATTTCAGCTAAGATATTTTCTTTATAATTTCTCAAATTGGTATAAAATATAGGATGTAAACATAACCCATCATTCACAAATATATTCTACCACTTCACAGTTAAAGGTTAAACTTGAACAAATATAGAAGATTAGTACAAATAAGACTCATAGATCTGGTCCAATCCGCTTCAAATGGTGTCATTCTGTTTCCTGTAGTTTTTATAGTAATGTTGCCATGATTTCATGAGCCTTAAAATATCAAACCTGTAAATTTGTACCTAAATATTTTTTTTCTGCTGCCGCCTCCTCTGGCAGTGCTCTTGGTTTTTTGTTCTGTGGTTTGACGCCTTATTACGGCTAGTTTATGACTTCTGAATTGTGCCAGTTCTGCTGGGTGGTAGGTAACTTACAAGTTGTATATGCATGTGTTTGTGACAAGCGGCCGGAGGACGGGGAGTCCTGTTTCAGCACAAGGCCTAAATTTAACTTAGTGAAGGGGATTTTCATCTTAAAGTCACACTGACTAATTCAGCTGTTAGCAACTGTCACAGACTAAAATAATGACTGTTTCACCAAGTATTAACCAATTTAACAAGCTTTTTATAAGTTCAAATACAACTTCCTCTTTGTTGCTAGTGTGCTTAACCTCAAACCCAGTGAGACTTTCTGTCATCCCCTTGCACCCCCTCTAAGCCCACTCCCCTCTTTTCATTCCCCACTCAGTCTATTTCTGTCCCCAGCTGAGTCAGATGGACGGCTCCCAACTTAGAATGACACAAACAGGCAGAGCAACTCTTCCCAAATCAGAGTGGCTGAAATCCTCAGGTGGACTCTAAAAAAACACAAAAACACAAGAAGATTGGGAACCGCAAAGGGAAGAGCTGGAGGATTCTGTCAAAATGGAAGAGTGTGAAAGTCTGGACTCTGAGATGACGGAGCTGCAGGAGTTTCAAAGTGAGGCCAACAGCCAGGACGATGAAGACGAGGTGGAGGAACTACATAACAGGTGCTTAACAGTCTGGATCTTTGTAGCTGAATAACCAGAGTTGGGGCTAATATTGTGTAAAACCAAGTCTACTGGATGTTTTTACATGAAATGTATTGAATATAGAATCTGATGGGAAACCACTTACCTCTAGGCTTCTCAGCTCAGATTTCCAAGATGTTCAGTTTAATCTTAAACAAAAATACAATTATCAAATTGACACAAAGCCGTACTCCATTTAACCATCAACTGTCAGCTCATACACAGAGTTGTAAGTGTTGGTTTCTACGATGACATTATTTACCATCCAAAATTTTACATCTCATTTATCATGTTTCATACTGGTGCTTTAGCTACCTTTGCAATGTCAGAAATAGTAGAAGTCACTGATATGTTGAGTGTATCTGGGAAAGCAGAGGCATCTCCTCTCTAATATTACATGGATGACGCTTTGGGACGTCACCTGGCCCCATCCCTGCAGCATCCGAGCTGTATTCATAGCAGGAGGGACAACTCGGTTAGATTTTTTTCAGATCATCACTGACATTGGCAGCTTTTCACCACACTCGTCTAATGCTCGATCTAGATCTACACTCCTCGTGTTGTCAAACTGTGAATAGATCAGCAGGTTTTATTGTGTCCTCAGCTTAGATTTGCTAAGTTGCCTCAGGTGCAAAAACATGAACGTGTTTTTCATGCTGGCACGTTATGCTCAGATGTGTTTTGATTCATTGGTTCGTTCTCTGCTTGCATTACCGCGAGCGCTGCCAGCAGAATCTCCTCTTGCACTCAGACTGTTTAGTCATGCCCTTCCTCTTCTCTTGAATGACAGCCTACTCTCCGTCCTCTAACTCTGACCATTACTCTCTTCTCCAGCCTGCGAGAGGTCGTCCAAGACCAGTCAGTGAGGCCTAAACTCCAGTGCTTGATGGTGGATCCATCATTCTCCATGGTAACCATTCAGAGCGAGGACAGTGGGATTGTTTGGGAAACGGCATCTAGTCGCTGCTCTACGCCCTGGGCCTCTGAGACCAGCTCCACCTCTGAAGCCTACAGCATGGAGGGATCTGGAGCTGCAGGGAAGATCACTATCGTCTTCGATGAGGAGAAAATAGTCCGCAGGAGGACGAGGTCTGGAGGAAGGAGCAGACTGGGGGACCGGCTCAGTCGACCAGGGAGCTCGAGATCGGCTTCAGCTCTGGGAGTGGAACGACCTGAGATGGCAGAGGTGTCTCTTCCTAATGTGAAACAGGAGAAACCCCCCACAGAGCCCGACTTGGAGGAAATAAAAAACCAAGATCAGCAGCTGTTTAGTTTGATTTCAGATGGTTATGAGATTCTTAACATTAGGGTTCCTTCAAAACTTCCCACTGTGGATGAGGAGGAGAGCACAGAGCTGCAGGACAATCTGTCCTTTTTGGACCAGACTCCAAAGATTCGGTCCAAAAACCATCATGACTGGACACAAATACAGAATCATGTCCTGCCAGAGGACCGGGAAATACAGGATCACAAAGAGGTATTAACTGATTTTGTCTGGTTGATTTAAGAGTATTTGATAATGTGGTATCTCAATTCTAAACATTAGTTTGGGTTTCATTTCTGCCTTTCCGCCTTTTCTGCCAAGAACCTCAAATTCATACATTTACTTGTTTACATTTAAATTTCTGTTAAACATCATATGTGATTGTGATCTTTTTCAGCCAACAGATCAAGACACATCTCAGTCCCCTACAGACACAGAGCTGAGTAAAACACCCACTCCAAAAGAGAGCACAGGCGACATAGACTACTTTGAGAAGTTCACCCTGCTTGATGCGGTGGTTCCTGAAGATCAGGCTCCAGAGATTCAGGAGGAGGCAGAACAACCTGCAGAGAAGTCCCAGGAAGTGGAGCCAAAACCTGATAAAGAGAATGCCACCGACAGACCCACTGCGTCAGAAGACTCTTTCGTCTTCGTTACAGATGTGGAGATAGTTGGGGAACACCTAGATGAAGTCTTCTATGGAGAGGGGGCCTCTCCTGATGCAATGCTGGGCAGAGATGACGAGGAGGCAGAATGTGGAGGAGGTATGAGAAGGAGACGAGAGAGCCAGAGATCTATGAAGGAGAGTGGTTCAGTGTTGTTTGGGAGTCAAGAAACCATCCTCACTCCTATCTTTATCTCACCCGGGCCCCCTAAGATCATCGACCAAATCTTGTTGGATGAGCCAACCGCCATGTCCTTTATGTACTCGGACCTTTACGAGGATGCTGTTGGCGAGAGGAGGAAGAGCGATGCGGAACACTCAGAGGCAGAGAGCATAGCATCTGAGAAGTCTTATAAGAGGCGTTTTTCGGACTCAGAGGAGACTGAGGGGTACCTGGAAAAGTTTACTTTGAAGGACGAAATTCCCAGTGTGGAGGATCAACCAGAGTCAGTAGAGGATAAGAGAGAAGGGAGGAGGATGTGGTCACAGAATATGTTTGAGATGACCGGATGTCTGACAAGAGTGCAAAAGGAAGTAAGTAAGTCAAAGACAGAGGAACCAGAGACACAGCAGGAGGTCATTGTTGAAGACTTGCAGTTAGAAGCAATGATACAGAAAAGAGAAATATTTACAGAAACAGCAAAGGTAAGAGAGAAAATAATACTGACTGATGAGGAGTCTGTTAAAGAAATCTCAGAAGAATCTGTTCAGGAGTCTAAACCAACAGAGGATCAGATAAAGGTTCAGGAAGTGGAACATGATCTCACTGAACCTCCTGAAAGCAGCACAGATGAACCACTTCCTGGAGCTCAAAAGGTGGACAGTGAAGCTGAGGAAACAGAGGAGAGTGACGAGCATCTTAGGGATGAAACAACTTCTGAACCAGTTATTGAAACTGAGCTGCAGGCACAAGAAGTGGCAGAAAAAGTAACTGAGGTTGACTTAAATGCTTCAGAAGAGACAACAGCTGTACACACTGAGGTTCCTCCCACCATCACCGAATCTAAAATACCAACAGAAAGCACTGAGAAGAGTTTGTCTGAAGAGGCAGCTACTGACTCTAAAATGGTGGCCACTGAAGAGAAAGTAGTAGCTGAGGCTGAGAGTGAAATACAGGAAAACTTACTCACTCCTACTGAAATAGACACATCAGCTGAAACGTCCATGCTTGAGGAAAAAGATACTGCAGAAGACGTTGCACCTGTTGAAGTTACCACTGACTGTGATTCTGCTATGCACGCAACAGTGGAGGTTATAGAAAAAGAGGTCGCTGAAAAAGAGATTCAAACCCAAGTTCAGATTGATCTTCAGGAGGTAAAAAGTGTGGAGACGACAGTTGCAGCACAAGAAGAACAGGAAGCTGAAACAAAGGAAGCTGCAGGAGTTATTACTGAAGCTGAGCAGGAATCAGAGGTTAAAACGGAGATTTCAGGTGAACCAGAAGAAATAAAGACAGATTCAGATAAGAAACAGGAGAAGATCTGTGAATCAGAGCAGCATCAGCAAGAAGAGAAACCAGGAACAGACGGTGAATCAGACAAAACAAAGCTGATGGTTGAGGCCAAAGAAGAAAGACCCAAAGAGGACTCTGGGACAGTACAGGAGATGGTGAACGATGATGATGAGTTGATCGTCCTTGTACCCAAAGGACAAGCTGTAGAGATGGACATAGAGATCAGTCAATCAGAGATGACTATTGGCAATACAGCAGCTCTCTCTGAACCAGGCAGCACATGTGAACAACTCACATCAGCTGAATCCATCAGAGTCAGTCCAGAAATTCTTCAGGCAACACCTGAGGAAACAATGACAGAGTCCCAGCAGGGATTCAAATCAGAAGTTATTTTAAAGGATGAAGTTTTACCTGGAAATGAGTTTGATGATAGGTACTCTCCTCCAGAACCTTTGGACTTTGTTGAAGAAGACGAGGGCGTCTTTTCACCTTTGAGGAGCTTCACTCCTCAGGAGGATTTGTCTGGTGTACACCGAGAGGATCCGCAATCAGAGCAACCAGAGGTTGGACAAAGTGAAGACATACACAAGGTGGAGGATGTCCCAGAAACTAATATTGTTATAGAGGATTTGAGTCTAGAGATTGATCTTCAAAGAGAGGAGGAAGGGCAAAAGGTGGAACAAGATGAGGCAGTCATAGTGGAAGCTCCAGAGGTGAGTGTGGAGGAGTTTGAATATGAGATGATATCTGAACAGGATGCAAAAGACATGCCACAACCAGAAACACAGAGAGATGTAGAGGAACCGAAATCTGAGTCAGGGCATGAGAGAGAGGAGAGGTTGGATCTTCACATGGAGGTGGAGATGGACAAGAAAGAGGAAGTGTTTGATGTCTCCCCAGAAGAAGAGCTCATTGAGGCGGATTATGACATCATCGATGCAGAAGAGGAGAGACAGGCCCGACTTGCGGCTGAGCTGCAGGGGATGGACTGGTTCTGTCTGACCTGTGGATGTCTGCTGTCAGAGGACGGCTCTTCATCTGGAGAGCATTACAACCACAAGGTGACTGCTGCTGACCAAGCCTACGAAGAAATTAAGGTAACATACTGTTTGAAAATACATCTTTCTTTGTAAAAAAAAAAAATCAACCTGTATTGCTGTGGCTCAGAGGTAGAGTGTGCCATCCTCTAGTCTAATTGGACAAAGGTTGTTCAATTCCCAGCTCTTGCAGTCAATATGTCAAAGATCACGTTTGATGAACACCTCGACATTTTGAAGAAGGTTGGGTATCTTCACATCACATAGTTGCAAGGCCATTAATAAAAATAACTATGACAAAAAAAAAGAATATATGCCCATATATTCTTCTTTGTCTTCACTTGGGCAATTTGCACAGGAACTTTTGTATTTTTGTATTATAAGAACACTTTGAGTGGTCAGAAGACTAGAGAAGTGTTTTATTTATAATTTGCATACAAATATATTTGAGATAACAATCAATGTTTTCAATAATGATAATAAAAGAAAGAAAAGCCCTGTACATTACAGAAGATAGACTGGAAACGTATGAGATGTTGCTGTTGACTACAACAGACAGTCATTCATTTCTCAAATTCACATTTAATTACTGCATGTATTTGAAATGTATAAGCTTTCTTTGGGGGAAAAAATAAGCAAGAAAACACATGTAGTTCTAGTTAATAAAAAGTCCACCTTTAATTGTACAAATTACAAATTATTTGCTCTTATTTGGTAAGTCTATGTGCGTTATCTCAATGAAATATAAAGTGCAGATGAATACTTTTAACATTTAGACTTAGCAGCCATTCACAGTATAATTAAAATTACTAATAGTTATGGACTTGTATTTAAAGTATTGGTGGATAAGGACATGTATGTATACCAATAATAATTTAAAGTATAGTATTTTTTTAAGAATCCAAAAATGTTCCATAACATTGAATTAATTATTAATAATTAATTATCCTATTCATATTGTCTTTTGTCTCAGAGACCTAAAAGTGTCTCCCAGAACTCTGATCATTCTAGCAGACATGATGCTGCTGCTGTCTGATGGCATGCTGCCGTAAATAGCAGCTCATCATCAAACACTTTCCCAGCATTATTCACTCACACAGTTATGATCACCGCACACTTTACTAGCCTTTGATCAGGTCATCCTGTAATAAAGCCGTCCTGAATAAACAGGCTGCGTGCTCTAAAGCTGCCTGCAGGCTGCAGCCAGGCACATTGAATTGTTGTGATGTAATGATCTGCTTTGATCGGTGGAAAGGTCCAGCGTGACATCATCAAGCAGAGACTGAAATGTGATCTGTTCACAGGCACTTCACCCACTCGCTGTCCCTACCGGTCAGCAGAGGGTCAAGCTTCTTTTTTAAATCTAGGTTCATATAAATAATAAATAGCTTCTTCTGACTATGTCAAAGGAATCTGTTTGTAGTCTTTCACTTGCAAATCTCAAAGAGCTATCTGCCCAGTTTTCATGTTCATTTGTTCACTTACCACAATAAAATGACAAGATAAATGTTCACTCTGCTAGAAGACGCTGTCTTTCCCAGGAAAGAAAATATTCTCTTTTCAAGTGTTTTTGTGAGGATACATCAAGTAACACGAGTGAAGTGAGATATTTCTTTGTGTTCCAAAACGATCACATAGCAAAGTTTTTGACATCTAAATCAACGGAAACCTGGAACAGATTTAATATGATCAAATGTCATTTCCAGATGATGTTGGAACCAGATCTGTGTGTGATGTTGTATTTATGTGAAACATAGACAGCTGGATTGTAAATAAGACACATTTCGCATCGTAATACAAGTCTGATTTTAGCACCAAGAAGTGCAGGTTTCCCACAGAACAAGTTTACCAGAACCACCTAGAAAAGTGCTCGAACGTGGAGTGTACCACTGCAACCCTTCAGATTGCAGCGAGTATGCTCACACATTCTTCTGCCCACTCTGAACACACACACACACACACACATGTACACCTGTTTTCTAAATCTTAGCAGGGGAATGGTGAGCATCAGAAGGCGCAAGGAGAGATAAGTAACCCACTTGACCCAGTTAAATGTGATCTGTTGGTGCTCAGGTGTTGACAGGGGATTGCCAGCGTTCTTCCTCCAGGAAGCCTGCTGGTTTTCCTTAAAGCTGCAGTAGGCAACAATTAACTTCAAGATGACCTGTCTTAATTGTCTCAATAAAACAGAAACGAGCATTTGTCACCTGTTATCTGGTATCCCACGGTCACATTAATTAAATTGAAAAAGTTACATTTCAGATATAATCACTGGTTGGACTTTTTGGTGAAGTAGGTGAAGAACTTATTGGAAAAAGTCAATTCAGGGAAAGAGGGTTAGAAAGGTAGATTCAGTAACTGAATAAATGTGCTGTAGTGATGTCGTCTTATATTCTTTCCACAAAGTGTGAAGTCTAAGTTTACAGAGATCATGTTTTTTCCAAAAGAATTGGTTAAGAAATCTTCAGACTTATCCAAAAATAATACCCACATGCTCTCATTCTGTATTAAAATGTGGTCTGTTGAAAAGAATATGAGGCTCCAACTTTAAAAAAAAAATTTGTTGGCCTTTTTGGCAGTGAAAGCAGTATAGAGACAGGAAATGTTGAGGAGAGAGAGTGGGCGATGACATGCACCAAATGTTTAAGACCGAAGGTTGTACCTACAATCAATGCAACAAAGATTGACTCGTCTGTGTGGAGTGCCTGCTCTAGCAACTGAGCTAAACCAGCACCCCAAAAAAGTCATGTCCTTTAGAATGCAATTCCTGGTTGTAATGATGATTTCCCTGAGACAGCTCAGCAACAAACAAAGAAACAAAGAAACAAGCTGAACTTTATACACCAGTTCTAAGTTTGTCAGCTTTTACTCTTGATTTGACTTTTCAGACTGCTGGAGCCTCTTTTTCGTCATGGCTGAACTTTCTGCCATTGGAGATAGATTAGGAATAAGGTTTCTTTTCAAGGCCAATTTGGAAAATAAGAATAACTATAATGATTTATATTTCTGTCATTGCGCATAGGAGCATGTAAGTATTCAACTGGCAAGTGAACCTATCTTGTAATCTCAGCTGTATCTATCAGTGGCTCTGGGATTTAAATCAGATAATTTACCGTAATATTTTGTCTTTTATCAGGAGAAGCTGGGTGATTGGATCTCAGAGCTGCAGGGCAGGTCAGAGAACATCGAGGACCTGGTTTCCGAGCTTGAACTGGGCTACAACTCTGTGGAGGTAAAACAAGACATTTAACACCAACTAGGACAATGCTACATTTCAATTGTACTGTTAGATCAGTGTATACATATTACTTCCATTAAAAAAATTGATGGACCATAACACAATTCATTTTGTTAACACACTTCTTATGTTGTTATCCCTCCTTCTCCTCTGGACCAGGACCAGTTTGTGGAGTGTGAGGCTGCGATGCAGGTGCAGAATGACGAGATGATGGCTCTGGTGATGGAGCAGTACAACAACATGTCCGTCAGCATGGAGGAGGAGAAGAAGGCCAAGCTGGAGCAGCTGTATGACCAGATCGTCTCCTTCCAGGAGAGCATTGACTCTGCCAAAGTCACTCTTGACACCACGACTAGGGAAGCTGAGACTGACGCACGGGTAAGTCCTGAGGATCTCAAGGCTTAGTGATCAACTGTATCAGATGATCTTGTGTAGATCTAATTCATCCTATTTTGGTCTTTTCTTCCAATAGTCACCTGAAGACATTCACTTGAGGTAATGTGCATTCAGTAAAAACCTTTATTAGATAGCAATAATAACAAACACAGTTTGCTGCTCGGCCTGTAGAGTTGTAACCTTTGTAGTTTGTGCCAATATGCTGAATATTGAGCTGCAGGGTTAAAGTATGGAAAAGACGGTTTGTCAGAGACCCATGTTGTTGTGGCCAGAGGCTAAATACTGTGTTGTGCCATCAGGCTAAAGGCAGCTCTGGACTCTGCCATGTCACTGGAGCTGGGTCCCCGGGGACTGCTTGTGTTCGAGGACTATGCCAAGGGCAACACTTCCAGCTCTAACCTTGCACAGCGCAAGGGAATCCCAGGTAGTTCTGAAGCAAAGAAAATGTATTTACATATATACCTGACATTAACATAATCTATATGGATGTCTCATGCCATGTGCGTGGATGTCACTCGTGTGTGCGTGTGCGTGTGCGTGTGTGTGCGTGCGTGTGCGTGTGTGTGCGTGCGTGCGTGCGTGCGTGTGTGTGTGTGTGCGTGTGTGTGTGCGTGTGTGTGTGTGTGTGTGTCACAGTTCCTCAGAGGCCCACACTGCAGCCTCAGGAGACTGGCTCAGCCTCTAGCACCAGTGTCACTGTTTACTGGAAAGTAAACGCAGGAGACATTATTGACTGCTTTCAGGTCTACTGCATGGAGGATCCACAGGGAGGTAAATAGATAGTGTTCAAGTAAACTAAATAGTGGTTCATGGTGCTTCTAACAGAAGTTACGAATATTAATTAAATTCAAGTTTTACTTTTGTTAATCTGTAGCTGCTTTTTTTTGATGAACTTTAAATCATGGACTTTGACCTTTACTTATATGAGTTTTGTGTCAATATAAAATATTTCTGTTGTCCTGAATTTTCGTTTAATGTATAAATGAACTTTGATTTAATTGTATTTCGTAGCGTGGTTTTGTGTGAATTCAGACTTTTTGACAGATTTAAGGGTCTGTCTGGCGCCCAATTGGACCCCTGCTCATTTCAGTTATGCTACAAATCTGAAAAAATACACATTTTATAATTTATCCCTGTAATCACTTCTTTTTTAAATATCTATTTTTTTTTATTTTAAGGTCTAGGTATTGTTTGCTGTTACATTTTTGGAAGCTTTGAGATCACAGAGGAAATGGCTGTGACTTACTGAGTTACTAAATACCAACATTGTGCATGTTTTGTGGCTGCTTTTGTCCTCAGCTGTGTCGGAGGAGTACCGTGTCACAGTGAAGGAGAGTTACTGTGTCCTGGAGGAGCTGGAGCCTGACAAGACCTACAAAGTGTGGGTGATGGCTGTCAACTACACAGGTTGCTCTCTGCCCAGTGAGAGACTTCCCTTCAGAACCGGTCAGTTCACACACTGGAGCTGGAGTAAATATGTACACAACTGTGTACGCATGCTGTTTTTTAATGGTCGTTGTTCATCTGTGATAATATAGTATATTTGATTTCGGAGGTCAAGAAATACACCACCCGAAAGCAAAAAGGGAATGTCACTCTTAATTAATGTCATGTACTTTTCTTGGCAGCTCCATCAGTGCCGGTGATCGACACAGAGCGATGCACTGTCCTTTGGGATTCGGCCACTCTGCGATGGAGCTCAACACAACAGACTGCAGAGCAAAGTTTCACCTTGGAGTACTGCCGTCAGTATGAACTTGAGGGAGAGGGGCTGAGGTGGGTGTTTTTTTTTTTTAACTAGATTAGATACCCACAGAGGCAGGAAAATTATTTCATCATAAAAATGAAAAAAAAAAAAACACATCTAGCTGAACAACACATCTGCAATGAATCTATTTATACATAAACACGTTTCGGTGTGCCACAGGTTGTACCTTTAATTTATGTGTGTGCATGTGTGCTTGATGTACTACTAGGACGATCTCAGGTATCCAAAGCTGTGAACAGCGGGTTCTCCTGCAGCCCAATGAAAATTATCTTTTTTACATCAAAGCTGTAAATGAATCTGGAGCCAGCGAGCAGAGCGAGGCCGCACTCATTTCCACCAAAGGTAACAAAACACACACTTCACAATCACTCAATTTTATATTCTGTTAAACACTTTGAAAATAAACTTTTGTGTCCGTTTTCAGGAACAAAGTTCTGCCTGCTGAAAGCCACAGCTCACCCCGCTCTGGAGCTGTCAGTAGACGAGACTACTGTTCACTTATCTCAGGGCACACCTGGAAACACAACATCTTCAGACAAACTGTGAGTAGCAGCAAGCTCCCACAATTCAAAGCAGCCCTTTGAAGGGGAATGTGTGAAATTGAGTTTTTGTTTTTGTTTTGTTAGGTGTCCCTCCATCCTGGGTGAGCTGTTGCCTTGCAAAGGTCGATACTACTGGGAGACCGTTGTGTCAGGGAGCACAGCTTACAGGCTTGGGGTTGTGTACAGCTCAGCCAATAGAAACAGCCTGCTGGGGGAGAACAGCCTGTCATGGTGTTTGCAGTGTATCCCTACACCATCAGGGTATGCATCAAATATTGCACATTATTTACTACACATGCTTGCCCTATATTTGGTCTGAATCCTCCACTCTGTCTGTCGGTCCAGCTGCAGGTATCAGTTGCTCCACAATGACGCTCAGTCCAGTGTGTTCGTGAACTACATGCCTGATCGGGTGGGTACCCTCCTGGATTTCCAGCTCTGTCGTCTTTCTTTCTACAACGCCCAAACCGGTCAGTTGTTAGGAGCTTTCTGCCAGCACTTCACCCAGCCGTGCCACCCTGCTCTGGCCCTGGAGATGCCGGGTCGCCTGGAGGTCAGTATGGTGCCGGAGGTTCCAGAGTTTACAAATGACAGTTAGCTCTGCTACCAGCCTCACCAACACTGAGGAGTTTACAGTTCATGATGGACACATGTTGATTTGAATGATCTTAAAATAAATGCATTACAGAGAAAAGTGCAGACATGACAGAATGTAAAATAAACTGATGTTCACAGTAAGGGTATAAATCATATTTGATCCCAGTCTTCTGAAGTCAAAGTCCTCATTCATGGGTTTGTGTTTTTTTTGTGAGCTAACACAATATGAAAGTTTCCCTCTATTCAATTTTTATTTTGATATTTAAAAAAAAAAAACACTGAAGATGAATGATGATGGTGTGAAATGAACTTTATGCTGATGTGAGCTCTTAGTAGTTTGGTACTTTCATGTTAATGTTCTAAATTGAACTCTAGTCATCTTTCTCTTCTTTGTTTAAAGCATTTCTTGTTGTTATTTTGGGAAAAGACCTCGACTGTACAGTGGTCAAAAACACTAACTGTGTCACTATTGAGACAAAAAAAAAGTCAAGGCCTCTTTTTAGTAAAAGTTTAAAACTAGGTTTATGGCTCCAACAAGAACTTTGTAGCACTTTGAACTGTGTTTCATATTGTTAAATTGTGTAAATACCTTTTTTTAAAGATGTGATCAATAACATGTTTTATTTAACTTACAGAAAGTGCAGATCATTAGTTTTCCTTGCCCTGCCTTGTTAACTTATTTTATGTCTAAACTATATCAACTTGTGTATTTTTCTATAACAACAACTGGATTGATCAGTTTCTTTTGTCTCAGCGCTCTGACTTACATTCACCACTAGAGGGCCTCAGTACTCTGTAAGTTGTTATGTTGGCTCCAGTAATGTATTTAATCATTTTCCTTCAACAAACACCTTTTTTTCTACTGAAATAATATCTATGCCATGGTTTCTACTTCTCTTTAAGCAGCTTAGAGTAAAATAAAAAAGATCTTTAGCCTCATCACTGCATCCAAGTTTTTATAAACTAAAAACCACCAACATTGTCTCGTATGTATAACCAAAGTTTTCTGATGTGTTCATTATCCATTAGAGATCTAGTCCATGTTTCCTTCATTGACCTTTTCACTTACTGGTATGTAAAATAATGTAAATGATTGTTATCAAATAAATTAAAATGTTAGCAAAGAAAGACAAGTATTGTTTCATTTTATTTACCCTCCATTACATTTGAAGACGCCAGGCTGAGACTAATCACATGCAGATGGAAACCAATCCCAACAACTTCTGCGAAGTCCATCACACTTACACTTCCAGACTTTTTTATGGCTTGCAGCTACTGTAGATGTTAAAGCCAGGCATCTCACTAAAAAAAATACAAAGTTCTCCAAAGGACAAGTCATTTCAAAATTACTGTGCTACCAGTCTTCCCGGCACTCAAACATTTCCCCTCATCTTTGACACCTTACTTCATTTTCCAGGAATCACAGAGAGGAGGAGAGTTAAACAGATGCTGGTTTACATGGGATATTTGGACTCCTCAGCTAAAACCTGGAGAGGGCTTTGAAAAGTAACAGCTTTATTTTCCTTGGACTGGCTCTCAGTCGATAACACTGAATCGGGGAGTTTTTTTTTGATACTTGAATTTTGGAGGATCTGTTTCTCTTACAGAGGAAACTTTCACCGCTGCAGACTGGAGGCTGTTATACCTTTTTAAAATACATCGCTTTGAAACTACTTCATATTAATTGTATTGATAGTGGAAGAGGATGAAACTGGTGTTGTAGAAACATTGCAACTCAAAATATTTAATCATGGAAGATTTTGTTTGCAAGAAAAGATTTGACAACCGGTTCCTGGCCAGCCAAGAGAAGCCTCGGCAGGAGTCTCGCCCTCAAGATACTCATGACTTGACTTCCAAAATATCTGATGTTAAGTTCGCATCCCATCCTTTCAGCCTAATTACTTATTTTTTCCATGTCTGAGTCCAAGACCAAACAAAGAGCTCTTTATTCTCCCAGCCTATAAACAACAGGCATTCAATCAAAGGCAAAATGGGTCATTTACCTCTCAGTGAATCAGATGACACCTAATAAAGTATGATTTTATTCAAGACAATTTGAGTGATTCTAAACAACTTTAATAAAATTACTAAGGTGTGTTCATGCTTGGAAAAAAAAAAGACAGCTTACATGGCAGGATTATCATGTTTGTATTTTAATAAGTTGTTACTAACCATTCACTGAGAATGAAGAACAGAAAATGACAAAGATCATTTATGACAATGTATCAAAAAGCTACAGGACGCCTTTAACCTTTTGATCATTGTTCACAGACACCAGCAGTCATGAAGGCACACTGCACCAATGTGGGACACACGCACACGAATGCTTGAGTTTCAGGATATGGTGCTTTAAAGGGAATGTAACCAGGATCTTTTTAAAGTTGCAAATCATGCAAACAGGCAAATGGAACAGACAGAGTTCACTGAATGTATGAGCTGTGAGGACATTAAATAACAGTAAGACAAAAAAAACAAAAACACCGGCAACTCATTTCAAAGTTCAATTTCAGACAATACAGATAAAGCAAAAAAAGGCAGCTAATGAGGCATTCCCAAGTGGGACAGACACTTCAGTTTTAAAAAAAGGAGATGTTAAAGAGGAAAATTTTAACAAAAAAAAAAAACAACAAAAAAATAAAAATAAAAAATACATGTAAGAGGAAAACTGCAGAAAAAAACAATGACGACAACAACAGAAGTGAGTGGATGTTAAAGATGAAGACACAGTAATTGCTGATAGTCCTTTGAAACACACTCTCTCTCTCTCACACACACACACACACACACACACACACACAGAGTCCCTTATATTCTGACTAACTAAATAAAGTGAATAAGGCCCTCCCATTACCTCAGTGGTTCAGTGAACATGATCAGCCCTATTAGAGGATTAATAAATAATGAAACTATTTACAACTTTACAAGCTATACAAAGCAGAGGAGGAGGGAGCAAAGCAAAACAAGTGCACTGTGTTCTCTAAAGTGTTGACTACTGATATACAGACGGAATATTACAATTAAAATCCTCTTAGAATTTAACTGGAGATATTTACAGTGACTATGAAGATGATGGTTGTGTGCTAGGAGGGGGTGCTAAAGGATCTTAGATTCTGCATAACAAAACACAGAATGATAAACTGTAGCATTAGAAAACTAAGTAAGGTATTATAGTCAGATATTCTTCTACTTTGTTGAATAATGTAACTACAACTCAGTAATACAATATCCTCATTGAGCAGGTGAGAACATCTCAACATGTGTCATATGAAATTTGCAGAAAAAGCTATTTCTCACAGGAAACTAAATAAATGAATGAATAAGAGTTTTAAAACAACCGGCATGGGGACAATCTTGTGCCCTCTTTTTTCTCTGCAGGACTTTTCATTTATTTTTTGGCTTTCCTTTAAACTTTCTTTCATTGAGCACCACTTCATAGCATACCAGCCTTAACCACATACATGCACCGACTATCCTTAAAAACCTCACACATGCACTTCTCCTTCACTTTCAGACCAACATCTTTAACATCTATCATCATTATCCTGCTGCAAAATAAGGCTCTTTTATAGCGTTATAGCATACACCCATTAATTATTAGATCATTTACCATTCAAGTGACAGTTCAGCGGGATTCATATATTTTTGATTACAGAGGTTGAGTCAGTTTTAGACTTGCACCTTCAATCTGCAGGCTGTCCTTCCATTTATAATGGTGGATCAGGGTTGAGGGGCATGGGTTAGGCGGGGGTTGAGTTCTTCTCACTTGCCAGATTGGGTTTGGGGTCCGGTCTGTGAGGTTTGTGCTGAGGGCTGCTGCGGAGATTGTCGTCCATCTAGGAGAGAAGTCCAGTCAAGTTAGAGAAACATGAAGGAGACAAAAACAATTGAAACGCTAACCTAAAAAAAATGAGGGGCACTATCTACTGGTATGTATTTTATTACAACTGAGAATGTACCTGCCACATGCACCCATGAACCCATGCAAAGAAGATAAAAGGAAAGCAGAAGCACCTTCTCTATCAAGTTGGACTCTTTATTTACAAGCTGAGTTAGTTTCTGGAGGTTGGCATCCATTGTTTCCTGAACAGGTGGAGGAGGACCTGGAGAGAGATAATGTTCGAGGAAGAAGAAAGATAAAGCGGTGTGACAGGAGCCGTGTTAATTCAGTAAGCAGTAAGCACCCAAAAATTAATGAGATACAGAAAGCCAGCATGCAATGAAACGCAGGTGTAAGTAGAAGGAACGTGTTCATAGCATCAGGTCACTTGTGTGATCTTTCCTCCAGTCTGTGAATGTAGATTTCACCGAGTTAAAGGTCAAAGTCTTGCTTGCATGCAGATGTCTTACTAGGGTGGTCTGAGCTGAAGAAGACCGTGAGGATGTTGTCACAGAAGCGTGTGATGTTCTCCAGCTGCTTGAGGTGGCTCTGCAGAGGGGAGCTGGGGAGACCGGCTTTGTATAGTGGAGCAATAAACCCAAACACAAAGGCGTCCAGACTGGTCGGCCTAAAAAAAATATATATATATATATACACCCCAACATGTGAACAATTACATACTGAGAAATAGGTGAAATCGAGCTATGAGATGTCTAAACAGCATTACCTATATTATCATAGTTTAACTCATCCTTACATTAAAGTGTTCTTTAAGTTGGATTTTGATCATAATGATCTTTAAAACTCTTCAGAAAACCCCTTTCCCCCACACAGACGAGTATGATTGAAGTCACACTGCCAACATAACATTTCATTTTACATTTTTCAAAAGAATTCTCCATCTTCATATCAAAAATGTGCCTGTTGCTGGCTGTGATAGCTCCTGGGTATCATGCGTTTCCCCCTTTGCTGACATGATATAATAACAGTTGAAGTTTGACTGAAGTTTAGAAAAACACCTGCACAGAGGAGAATAGAAATGTTACAGTTTTATCCATAAACTCTGGCCTAACATACAATACAGCTCGATAACTATCAAACGAAAGAGGCGCTGCATGCCTAGTGGTTAGTTCTCACGCCCCATGTACAGAGGCTGTTGCCTTGAAGCGGGCCCGGAATAGAACCAAACCTGTGGCTCCTTTCCTGCATGTCATTCCCAACTATCTCTCTCCCCGATTGCTGACTCTATCCACTGTCCTGTCTCAATTAAAGTCATAATAAGCCCAAACATAAAAATCTAGGAGATGAAAAAAACCCAAAATCTATCTCAAATGAAACATTAAGGAACTCACGAGTTGCCAAAGAAGTAGTTTCCTGTTCCCAACCTGTACGCGAGGAGATTCAGGCACTCTTTAGCATCGCTGTAGATCTGAGGTGGAAAGAGAATAGTGAAGCATTTCTAAATGATAACTGACGTCTCACTTCGGTAACAACTACAGAGTGGATATAACATGTGACTGAGGAATCAGACAGGTCACTATTTACCTTTCCCTCGACCTCAGTGATTCTGTGCAGCGGTGCCTCTCCTTTAGTTAGAAGGATGCGAGAAAGGGCAGTGTTGGCACTGCGACCGGGGACGATAAAGTTAAGAGGGAACGGTGAGCGTGAAGCAAACCATGGCCGTGTTAGGTTGGCGTAGTTTTCTGCATCCACCCAGAAAGTGTGCAACTGTGGGACACAAAGCATCACTTTGAATATTAACAGTAAAAAAATAAATATACATTTTTTTGTCACAATTGAGATGGTGTTACCACAGCTGGTCGCAGCTTCTCTTCAAGCAGAGCGATGTAGGCCATGGTATCTGCTCCTTGTCTGGCAGACAGCTCAAAGTCTGCATTAAACCTCTAAAAGTGAAAAAAAATATTATTATTACAGTTTTGTGCTAAATGGCTTAGGTCATAATACCCAGAAGGAAAAGGAGCGAGAACTCTTTGCATCCACTCTTACCTGTTTTCTCAGAAAGTTAAGAATCTGGGTTGGTTCTGTAACTGCGGAGTCTCCACAAAGCAACTCTGGAACTGTCGCTACAGATTTAATGACAGGGAGAAGATGTTACACTTCAGGAACAGGAAAAGTATGAAAGCCCGACATTTTTGTTCCTTCCATGAAGAAAGTTAAACAGGGAACCTTAAATGTCTGCAGAACATTTATACCTTAAATTGTTTGCTTTTTAAGTCATTTCCTTTCAACCAGGTTTAAAACTCTCTACGTGTGCTTTTTGACGTCAAAGTTCGGACATTCTGGTTCATAAGAAGCTGCAGCCCACCTGTTAGCGTTTTCCATGTCCAGTCTATAGGAGAAACTGAGACTGTCGCCCCAGAAAACTTAGCATATGCCTGAAAAAAAAAAAAAGAGTTTGACACAAATCAATTGAATGAGGTTGTTATCTGTATTGTATTTTCCCAATGCTATGAATAAACCATCGCAGACCCTAAATAATACATGATTAGAAATTAGATAACAAAAAAAACTGTGTATTGTATATTGTAAACAGTGGATATATGTCTACTTGGTATGAAAATTGGCAAAAGTGTCACCTTGTGGCAAGAGTTGTAAATGCAATAGAGCATGATTCAATGAGACAAACGAATGAAAAATAGTCAGCAAACAAGTTATTGTTAAATTCTGACATGGTTTTGTACCACCTCGGCCACCGTCCTTAGTTATTTAAGAGAAAATAATGAACACACAGATATAAATGTAAGTAGTAGCGTCAAGAAGCTGACCTTGAAGCACCACGTTTTTGTTAGCTGGGAAAGTTAATTCTGACGACCAGTCTCACATAGAGCAAAGACAATGCAGTCACAGCTTTTTTAAAGTGGCTGCTGGGTAAACATACAGTGAATGTGGTAACATTATCACCTATACGAGCAGGTAACAAACAAAATGCAGTGGGTAAGTTAGCACAGAGGCTAACCAGAGACACAGAGAGAAGACGAAAAGAAAACCAGGAAGTAAACCTTTCGGCTCTAAAAGGAGAGCTCGGTGTGATGACGGTACATTTTGTAGAAGATGACAAACACGTTACCAGAACTATCAGAGACTCGGTGTGTACAGAAGGCAAACCCCAGTCTCCTCCCCAGCATCTCAGCTCCATGGCGGCCGCCATGTTTTCAATCACGGAAGGGGCTCCTCCTGACGTCACGTGGTACCTGCAGTCTCGAGGATAGTGACGATAAGAAGGTGTCAATGACCTGTCGACCCCGAGGGACCACTCCGAGATTTGTCTTTATTTGGTGTTCCTGATATAGTTTTGAGTTTGTAAGACACCGCAGGATGTTATGAAAGGACAATAACACACCTGCTCAATGCGACCAGCGCACAAAAAGTCGCCATACATTATAAAGCACACATGCCCTCTAGAAGGCACTTAATCATAACTTTATAATAAAGAGCACCTTTTAAAAACACAGGTTTACAAAGTGCTTTGACAAACAAGAACAAAGCAAACTAAACCAAACACAGAAGAACATTAACAACAGCAAGAACATAACAAATGCAAAATACTAAAAAAATAATTAAATACAATTCATACTTAATCATGTTTGGTCCACTAAGAGATCACCCTAAAGGACACTGGCTGTGTTTTTTTCCCTTTCAAACATTAAGGCATGTAGAAATGAAATCTGATTAAGAACTTTATGACAAAATAACCTCCCTAAATTTTTTTATTTATTTCCAGACAATTGTTTATTATCTACACTCAGATATGTGCCAGAATTGTGGAATTCACACATTTTACATAACAAAATATAACAATCCTATAGACATATGCCAATAATGTAATATCGATCAAATAAAAGAAAGCCCTCATTATAATCACCCAAAGTCCACATCACAAGCAGGACAGTGAAGTTTGTGGACAGACAAACATACCCCAAAAGACACATAGATACAACAGAGTGTTATGGGAAAAAAAGAGATGACTGTAGACTAAAATCATAGCCTTTTCTTAGTTCGGTTTAACTAAATGCTCTGTTTTTGTAACAAATCTGCATTCATGTGGTTGTCCTGCAGGATCTGGTCACAGATGAATCACACAGCATACTGCAGATTAATAATTAACCTGTAACACTATATTAGCAAACTTAATGTCCAGTTCAAAGTAAATCACAATGAGCTGATCCATGATGAGCTGGGAACAGTTTGGCAGTTAAAGATCTATAGCTCAGAAGGAGAGGACAGAGTATTGCGAGGGGAAAGCAAAAGTATTGCCAGGTGATATACATTTTACTATAATGCAAGAAACAAAAACATTGTTGACATTTTCATATAGTTCATGTGTGTATCAGTTTATGTTTCAATTTTAGCAACTAAAGCATGAAGTCTGATGACAGACTGTTGAGGGCTGCTTGGTGTTTGGTCAGAGACCAGAGAGCCAAACACAGATGGACGCACGCACTTGATGCACTGAGGGATGGTAAATGTTTCTCTTTGGCTTGAGCCAGCAGCCGAGATGTTGAAATGCACTTGAGGTAAGTAGAGAAAGCTTTAAGACGAGCTCCAGACATCTATCATGAAATGTTTCCAGAGTCTAGACCTCTTTGTCCTTCCTTTCCCAAATTCTTTAACAGATGGGATTAAGAAAAGGTTTGCAGGGGTATGTAGAAAGAGTTAAACGAAACCGAATTTATTGTAAAACATCTGGGTCGCATTGGCTTACTGGAGATGAGCTATAGGGGGATCAGTTTCACATCTAAGAGACAGGTTGATGATGTTTGTGAATAAAACAAAGCCAGCTGGAATCGGGTTTTCCTCTCTGCAGACAGAAGCACAACCCTTTTCAAGTATTTGTTAAAGCTGGATGACTTTGAACTCTTTGAAACTCTTGTGAGTTTTATGGTCTCTTACCACAACTTAGTAAACATCATTCTTAATGAATAAAAACCTTATGTTGACTCCCAATAAAATAGTGTCATAAATACATGAAAAATCAGTAAGCTGATACAGTAAAAGTGACACAATCTGAAAAGGATCAAATATAATATAAACACCTCATGTTTTCATTTTGTTTGGGGAGTTTTTTTTTTTACTTTTCCTACTTTGCAGCGATAGTACTTCAACTTCGACACACAGGTAAAATATATACGACTAATCAACTGATGGAACTATGGTAGTGGAGAGACACTCCCACAAACTATTAAAATCGTCCCTTCACTGTTCCACTTCACTCCACTTTCCCAACAGCTGAGTAAAGGACCCTCCCCTTTGCTTTAAAAGCCACGGCCACAAAATCATCTCACCTCTGCTGAGGTTTTGCTTCAACATCTGGATTTTTTCATTATTCCATGGAAAGTTTATAAACGAATTACTAATCTGTGACATAGTGGGTATAAAGGACGCTCAGTTCTTTCTTCAAGAATCCAGCTACAACCCCAAGGTGTATCCTGTACTGAAGCGCTGGTGATGGATGTGTGGGCCAGAGCAGTGGCTCTGTCTCTGCTGTTGCAGCAGCTGGTGCTCACTGTCACAGCTCAAGGCATCGGTAAGTTCTCTTCATTAGCCACCTTCTGGACAACAGTGTTGCTTATGATCAGCATGAGTTAAAATAACTCTTCATAAACTGTCTTTTACATTCATGTATGCCTAATGATCTGCCCTCTGGTGTTACTATTTCTGATCTGCAGAGAGTCGCAAATTACAAGGGTAATTATGTCAATGGTTAGTATGGAGTTGATTTCTTTGTGGCTGGTAAAACGTCTTTCAGTTCAGCAAGAACAGTGTGACCTACATAAGGTCAGTCTTAGATGGTAAAGAAACAACAGCACTACCTGCCATCTAAGAAAGTGCACGTGTAACACTTTATTTGCCATGTAAATGTTTCCATACCACTTTCTGTCTGTTCACATTAGTCCTGAATTCAGTTCATGGCTGTGTTCAAGTGTTTTTGTGTACATGTATGAATGTGTCCGTGCATGTGAGGCAGTGTGAGGCACTGGGTTTTGTTCCAGTGGAAAGAGTTTACTGCTGCTCCTTTCTGCAACTCCAGATCACCACTCCATAAAACACACAGCAGGATACAAACACGAATGCGCACTGGCATACACAGGCATCTATGCATGTGCACACACATACAGATACACTGTCACACATAATAAAGTAGCATAGTGCTCTGACTCAGCAGCGGTGACTCACAGTACACTGTGAGCCTTAGACATAAAGACACAAACCATCCATTAACATAAAAATACTGCTAATACTTTTCCAAATGTAAAGTCTTGGGTGTGTACTGAATGTTTCTGAATCTCCTACAAGTTTAGCACAAAATACATCAACAGCAATGTAACGCAGGTTTCTAACACTCCTCTCATGTGTTAGTCTACGACCTGCTGGTGTCTCCGGACTGCCTGCCTGACTTACTCCAAGGAAGCCTGAAAAACAAAGGGCGAGATGAGGCTTTCCTCCTCTCTTCCTTCAGGCTCCAAAACAAAGCCCCCACCTCTCTCTTCAGCGTCATCAACCCCCAAGACAACACCAAGTACCTGGAACTGAGCGTGCAGGCCAAACTGAGCAAGGGTGAGTTATTGAACTGACAAACTACACTATGAGCTTTCTGTATTTTATTTCTTGATTTTCTAATCCACCCCCTCCCTCTCTTGTTTTTCACCCTCTCTTCTCTCCATCCTTAGTGATCCTTCGTTACCAGAAGACTGATGGCCGATTTGGCACAACCAGTTTCAACCACCCCTCCCTGGCAGACGGCCAGGATCACCATGTGATGCTGCATGCAAGCGGCCTACAGCACGGCACGCCTCGCCTCCACATTTATATTGACTGCAGACTGACCCACACTTTGGATGATCTGCCCGCTGTGTTTGGGTCAATACCACCTGGCTCAAATAAGGTGGCTCTCTGGACCCTGCAGACGAGTGGACAGGTGAGTGAGAGGTTTGCAGTTGAGAGAGTAACTATACATCTGAAGGAAGAGATATGCCGCATAGAAAGATCATAGAAAGATATCTTTTGGATCATTGTTGTATTTCTCTTATTTCTTGGTCAGGATGAACTGACAGACCTGAAGTTGGTCATAGAGGACACCATAGACAATGTGGCCACTCTGCAAGACTGCTCCATGGAGCACACTCAATCTCGGACTTCTGCAAGGGAGGCGTTGCAGCTGCTGGGTGGGAACAGAGCGCCATTGACTGTCTGATGGTATCTCCATTAAACATAATGCAGTCATGTAAAAATGAAAACCTGTTGTTAATTTGATTGTCATCTTCAGGTATCCAGGGGGGGCAGGTGTTACAGGACCAGACCACCATGCAGGAGCTGAAGAGCATGTTAGCTGAGATGAAGCAGCTGCTCAACCAGCAGGTAACCTATTTAGTGTCCGGGTCCTGTTTGTCTCTCGTGAGTAACTACTGATGGAAAAGAGGAGACGTGTAAGACACACAACTGAAGGATGCACATGTGATTTGGAAAAGTTATTTAAGTGTTATCATAAACATTGCAATATATTATGATATTGGCCTGACCAGAATCAAGCTAGTATTTCATTAAACTAATAAAAAGTAAGTGAAGTATTTCAGAGAACCTCTCGTAGTAGAAAAATCTACTTTAAGAAGTGGAAGAATGTTGGCTGCTTCAAAACATTTGGAATTTCCTTTTTCCGGGGTAAGATTGGTTTAGTAATTAAATCAGAGATTTGTTGTGAACGTCAAGAATCCAGACTGTTAGTGCAGGCAGAGTCTCTATTGTTCTTACTGTATAGCCTCAACAAAAGACAGCTGGGTAAAGGGGGTTGGAGGATTTTCACCTGAGGAGAGGTAGAGGTGGATGATTTCAGATTATTATTGAAAGCAAAAGGATTTGTCCTGAGAAAAGGCATGTAACAAAGAGCCCGAGGCGAAAAAAATCCTTGTACAGCATCTCAGACCTGGCTGAGACAGAGAGACAATCCTTTCAGTAGGGAAACAGATCAATGAAGATCACCTCAGCAGACACATTCTTAAAGCTTTTCAAACCATCCAAGTCTTATTCATGTCTTAAAGACGTATTTAAATAGATGTAATTCTGATTTGCCTCTATTGATGAAAACCTTTAAAATAAAAACAAACGTTACAGTCTGACATTCTGTTTTTTTTTTCTGGTTTAGATTAAGGAGACAAATTTTCTGAGGAATACCATCACAGAATGTCTTCCATGTGGTAAGACTTTAGACTTATAATACAGCCTGTAAACAAAACAACAGATTGTCATTTCAACATATCTGAGCGTGTGTGTCCACAGGTCTCAGGGGCAATCCGACTAACACAGGCCCAGCTCCGACTCCTGGGCAGTTTGTCATGCAGCCTCAGCCTCTGACTCAGTGCCCGCTTGGGACCTGTTTCAAACAGAACATGTGCATCCCCACGGACTCGGGGGGGTTCCAGTGTGCCCCCTGTCCAGATGGATACACAGGAGATGGGGTGCACTGTGATGATGTAGATGAGGTATGGATTATATGCTTTTGAATGTTCAAGCAGAACCTGTCAGCAGTTAATCACATCATTTCTTTGTGTGTCTTTAGTGTCAGTTTGGCCCGTGTTTCCCAGGTGTGAAGTGTGTGAACACTGCTCCTGGCTTCCGCTGTGGTCAATGTCCTCTAGGATACACCGGACCAGAGATAAATGGAGTGGGAGTAGCTTATGCCAAGACAAACAAACAGGTTCAAGAAAACTATGAGTTCATTGTATACTAAAAGTTCATTCTCTTTGATTGATTAACATCTTTTACAGGGTATGAATCTTTTGTTTTACAATGATGTCTTGTCTGTTGTCCAGGTGTGTGAGGATATCGATGAATGTCTGGGCCCACCGGACAATGGAGGCTGCACTGCCAACTCACACTGCCACAACACGATGGTAAGTCCACTTGACTACTTTGTTCATAGCGAAGCACCTTTTAGCAGAATACCCAGGTTCTTTACTATAAAACTGTCCTCACCAGGGTTCCTTCCGCTGCGGAGACTGTAGAACTGGCTTTACAGGCGACCAGGTGAGCGGCTGCCGAGGTACCAGGCTGTGCCCGAATGGTCTACCTAACCCCTGCGACGCCAACGCCGAGTGTGTGGTAGAGAGAGACGGCAGCATTAGCTGCATGGTAAGATTTAGATCTTGGAAAAGACTGAATTTATTTGTTTAAATTTATGCTTCTTAATCCCAATTGTCAATAATTTATTGCCCTGCTGTTCAACATTTCATCGTTACGTCATGACTTTTCCTTCTTCTGTGTGTGTGTGTGTGCGTGTGTGTTTGTGTGAGTTAGTGTGGCGTTGGTTGGGCAGGTAATGGCTATGTTTGTGGAAAGGACACAGATATTGACGCATATCCAGACAGTAAGCTCGCGTGCAGAGACAACAACTGTAAGGAGGTACTCATGTCTACGTTCACTAGCCTCTCTTGCATGTAATTAGCCGGAGTGTAAGACTTCACGTCATTATGCCCTTCCTGTTCTTTTTTCTTCCAGGATAATTGTGTGTTTGTTCCGAACTCTGGCCAAGAGGATGCAGACAGGGATGGGATGGGTGATGCCTGCGATGATGACGCAGACAGTGATGGCATTATTAACATAGATGTAGGTTACTCACACATGTTGGGGTCTCCAAAGTGAAATGAAAAGAATTGTCATTTTTCCACTGAGCTCTTGTACTACTCAATAAAATATATATATTCTTATGTCTCAGGACAACTGCTGGCTCGTCCCTAACGTGGACCAAAAGAACAGCGATAAAGATCTCCATGGCGATGCCTGTGACAACTGCATAACCCTTGATAATCCCTATCAGAGGGACACTGATAAGGATGGGCTGGGAGATGAGTGTGATGATGACATGGACGGAGATGGTAAGTGGGTGTGTTAGTTACATTTTCTGTGATTTCTTCACGACAACGGGCAGGTTTATAAATAGTCAAAGTGACTTCAAAGGTTGGATGGTGAGAGGTGTAGTAACGGGACTTTTATGGCTTTTATTGCATTAATAAGAGGTAATAAAGTTCGTAACCCATCGTGAAAGCTAATGGCTGATAATCACATTAAAAGACTTCCGTGTGTGAGAGGGTTGTCCAAACCGCAGACTGTCTGGACAAGAACACAACCTTTACCACCCTGTCTGGTGGAAAATGTGGAAGGGCACCACTTAATCTGTTCAAAACATTCTCCAGGTTTTTTTGTGTCTGTTTCAAATTTCACATCCTCTACCACTTAGATCACAGGCTTTCAGGAAAACAACCCAGGCATTATTAAGGCTGAAGAAAAAAAAAAGCACAGTAGAAAACAGTGTTAAATGTTCAAATGTTCCAACTGGAATGGTACGTGTTGTCCCACAAACTTGTCTCACATACCTCACTTGATTGCCCATTTAAGAGCAGCTCTCATTTGTTCCATTGGAAACAACGTTTAAACTTGTAGACGTTGTGCGTTTACCTTTACACGCTTACGCAGGTTGCATGTTTAGACTCTGCGCAGTGACCCCTGCTTACTCACATTGGCAGAACTCCAACCCCTCGATCGTTTGGTTATGTCTTTAGCTCCAAGACTGGATTGCTGAGTGCTTGGTCATGTCTGTCTCCACTCTAAAAGCGTTTTTCCACGGTAAGCCTCTGCCAGGCGTTGGAGGCCACTGGAAACTATTTCACCTTTGCCTTCAACAAACACTGCCATCTGCTGATGCATTCGACAGCCGCTGTCTGTGTACTGCATTCTGTCATTCTGTTTTTGTGTCTCCTGTCAGGGCTTTTCCTCATGACACAACAAATTAAAACTCTGAGGTGTTTTTGTTCTCAGGTTTGAAGAATATTCTTGATAACTGCCAGCGAGTTCCCAACGTGGACCAGAAGGACAGAGACAAGGATGGGGTGGGAGACGCCTGTGACAGCTGTCCTGATATGATTAATCCTAACCAGGTAACAAATCAAACAGCAACAAAAAAAGAGATGAATTTTCTGAAGTCTGACTGTTTTTTTTTTCTTTTTGTTTGTCAGTCTGACTCAGATGACGATCTCGTAGGAGATACCTGTGATGACAACATAGACAGGTAGGCCCACTGTCATGACATGTGGTATGAATTTATGGCTGTTCAAAAATGTGAAAGGTCTGGTATGCTTCAAGGATACAAACTATTGTTGGAGAAATGCATCTTGTAGCCAATCATTTAGAATAAAGGTATGTGTTTGTAATTTTGGTACCTAAAGGTTTGAAGTAGGTAAATATGACCTATGACCCGACCTTTAATTGGGTGGCCTGTTAAAATCAAGAAAACATATGGTATCCCGGCCACTTCCCCGACACGCTTAGAAGGCTGCCCTATGCTTCAACCAGAAGAACAATTGAAAGGGCATAAAGACAAAAAAAAAAGTACCTTTTACATTTTAGAGAAGTTCTTCCTGTGATGTGAAGTCTGGGATACTTTTGGTGGAAATACAGCTAAAGAGACCTCTGTTAGTGAAAATAAGAATGTAACCTATCACCACCAGCCAATGGTACAAAGTGCAGATTCACAACAATTCCTTTAACTAGATGAAATGAACAGACTTGATGCTTCTTAAAAACTATTGGTTAACCTTCATTGAAATCAATGTTTGGTATCCCTCACACTTTTGGGATTGACTCACAGAATATCAGGGGAACATACTTCAGACCTGCACAATATAGATGTAACTTTTTCAGTATAACCACTGAGCAGATTGTGAAGCAGATAAAATCGAAAGTTTTAGAGCTTTATGATTCTGATGCAGAGTCACTTTCTACAACAAATTTAAACTGACGTGTCGCTGGGGGTCGGTAAATATAATTTCGGCCATTGTCATGAAATACTGTAGTGACACTGACTGATCAAGTTTTATCTGAAGGCCAAAAGTACTTCAGCACTGACAGTTGATTTCAAACGTTTAAAAAGTCCTTTGTTTTAAGATATCCTGACATTAGTTTTACCTGCATTTCTTTGTTTGTCAGTGACGGTGACGGCCACCAGAACACAAAGGACAACTGTCCCACTGTTATCAACTCTTCTCAGCTGGACACGGACAAGGATGGGATGGTTTGAAACTCTCTACGTTCATTCTTAGTCATTTAACTAACTTATTTTTAAGTATCTTGCTTAAGGATGCTACAAAAGTGTCCTTATTTCTTGAAAGGGAGATGACTGTGACGATGATGACGATAATGATGGCATACTGGATGAAGTTGATAACTGCAGATTAGTTCCAAACCCAGACCAGAGGGACTCAGATAGTCAGTATACTTTTCTATCTGTGCCTGTGTCATTACATGCATATCTACAGTGTGTGTGCTCTCTGTGTGTTCAGTGTGTCCCTTCTCCCTAAACTACATCCTTATATTTTAGATAACAACGTCGGAGACGCATGTGAAGGAGACTTTGACAAAGACGACGTCATCGACATAATCGACCACTGCCCAGAGAACGCCGAGGTCACCCTGACGGACTTCAGAGCCTATCAGACCGTGGTGCTGGATCCAGAGGGGGACTCTCAGATTGACCCCAACTGGGTGGTCCTCAATCAGGTAAAAAAAAAAGTGATTCCCATTTAAATCTGTTACATGTTTTTATTTTTTGTTTGTGTAAAGCTCAAACATTTTCCCATGACATTATCTGTACAAAGTTAGTGTAATGCCGAACTGCTTTTTCATTTCATCACCATTTTGTTCTTCTAAAGATAAAATCAAGATAATTTGGTTGTATCTCAAATAAAAACAAGTCAAGTAAAGCTTCTCTTTTATCGTCCTTACAGGGTATGGAGATAGTTCAGACCATGAACTCTGATCCCGGCCTCGCAGTAGGTAAGAAATCCTTCACACTGTCTTATCGAGGACAATGTTTTTACAAGGAAATATTCCTTATATTCTTTATGATAATGTTGTGTTTCCTCTCCACATTTGAAGGTTACACAGCGTTCAGTGGAGTTGACTTTGAGGGGACCTTCCATGTAAACACAGTGACTGATGATGACTACGCTGGCTTCATCTTCGGCTACCAGGACTCCTCGTCCTTCTACGTGGTGATGTGGAAACAGACGGAACAGACTTACTGGCAGGCGGCGCCCTTCAGAGCAGTGGCTGATCCAGGAATACAGCTTAAGGTAAAATGTTGGTTAATAGCTGCGTTTCTTCAGCGGCTTTACCAAAGCATCTGATAATTTGCTGCTTCATCATCCATTCACACACCTATACACAAACACCTTCTTATATATGTAGACCTCTTCCTTTCTATTCAGAAAGGCCTTGTTTTACATTCATCATATTCTTAATTTGACAGTATCAGTATGACTGCAATTCAATTCAATTAAAATCAAAAAGAAAACTCAACTTTAAATGGAAATTGCAGTCCATCTGACATCCATTTATTAGAAACATCAGTTTGATTTTCTTCCAAATCAATATGGAACGCTTTAGCCTAAGATGCAACAAAAGACGGAGGCGAGAGAAAAGAAACAGCATGAAAATGAAAAATAAATGTATGTCTAGGTGAGTTATTAGATGTGAGAACATAGTAAAAATCACATTTTACTCTCTTTCATTGTACAAAGTCAAATAAAGTCTGAGCTTATAGTTTTAATATATTCAGGCCACTAAGTCCAAATCCTGAAATCTTTCATTTTGGACTAAGAGGCGAAATGAAACCTTACAAGCCCCACCCTGCATACAAGCCTTTGAATTCACTGCTAAAAATATTTGTCAGTTTGTTGTTGTTTGTTTGGGGGTCCGTAGGGACTTAGGTGTCCCGGTGCAGAGAGGTGCCAGTTCACTTCTGAGCACTGCTGAGGTGCCCTTGAGCATGTTAATTAATTCCCTACACCCATGAACACTTTTGTAATGTGTTATCAGTCCTGGTCTCTTGTGCTATCTGTCTCTTCATCACCAGGCTGTGAAGTCTAAGACGGGTCCCGGAGAATATCTGAGGAACTCCCTCTGGCACACAGGAGACACCCAAGACCAGGTCCGTCTCCTGTGGAGGGACCCGAGGAATGTGGGCTGGAAGGACAAGGTATCCTACCGCTGGTTCCTCCAGCACAGACCACAGGTCGGATATATCAGGTATAACAGACACGCACCCACACTAAAAGTAAAAAACACATTCATACTGTGTGAACTGTGAGACTTATTCACCCCGTTATTCAGGGCTCGCTTCTTTGAGGGCTCAGACCTGGTGGCCGACACAGGGGCGATTATTGACACCAGTATGAGAGGAGGGAGACTGGGTGTGTTCTGCTTCTCACAGGAGAATATAATCTGGTCCAATCTGAAGTACAGATGCAACGGTGAGTCTGCAGGATGAGCGTGACTGTCACTGTGGCTGCCTCTCTCATCATACACAATTAAGTAAACTCATGAGTTTTTCATTTTTTCTTCTACAGACACTATTCCTTTTGACTATGAAGATCTCAGCGCCCAAAACACAGAGTGAAGAAGAGAGAGATCTATCAAAAACGTGGGGGAGAAAAGCTGAGAACAAAGAGGAAGAGGACAGAAGTTAGACACAGAAAGATGAATGTGAGGGAGCATGAAGGAAAGTCGTTAGTGATGGTATTTTAACTGTCATTCGAGTGAAAGGATCTCAAAAGAACATAACTTTGGGCATTTTATACTTTTACTTTCATACATTTCTGTACCAATCAGCAGCAGGTTCTGTGATAGCTATGGAATAATACCTGCAATCTTTTTTATCAACTATATACTGAGTACTATTAAGGTTTGAGAGAGTTGTTTAGCATACAATAGTAGATACAGTCAAATTAAAAGCATCTTGCAAAAACAGTTTCTCTCTTTTTTTGCACATGAAATCCTTACATGTTTTTTTATCTGTCTGAAGTAAAACAACATCAGCAAATAAAGACAGCACGTGGCGTTCAGTGGATGTTTTATTGACAGAGTGTGAACACTGTAAACATCATGGAACCCACAACTCTGTTCTTAATAACAAACGTCATGGTGAAAAAAGAGTTGCAGCATGTTATGGTGTCACACAGGCTCACAGGGAGTCCCTGCCATCTGATTTTGGGATTGTTTTTCATAGCTTGGTATCGAAGCTACAGAGCACCATTTAACTTCTGCTTCCTCACAAATAGTTCAAATGCAGAATTATGAACACATTTTAAGTCAAATAAAACAAAATCTGCAGAAGTAGGACAACTTCTCCACTGATCACAGGACTAAAGCCAGAATGTACATGAAGCTATTAAAACATGTTAACATTATCATCAGACAAGAACATCTTTATTAATGATGGATGAAAACAAACGACTTGCAGTTGCAGATGTGCAACGTTTGCATTTGAACAACACTAAAATGTTACACATCTAACAAACAGGTGAAGGTCTTCGAGTGAGTTTTATTCGGCAGTGAACTCAACATCCAGTGTTGAATAACTTACTATAAACACACTCATGCTACCTTATTCTGACCACCGTTGTGAGAGAACATGTAACAAAAACAAGGCATAAAGCCTCCAGAACTGTACAGAAAACAGCTGATTGAAGAGTCTGTGTGTGCATGCAAATACATAATGTTGATAGTTTACTGACTAAACAATCTGATACTATAGTATTTTATTTTCTGACATCTACCTTTGGCAAACGATCCCAATCTTTGTCAACGCTTCACAAACGTCACTTTTACATAAGGCAGATTCACTTAAAGAGCACTGCCCGTTATAACAACCGTTTTGACTGGACATGTTGAACACATGGATTTTTCTCAGAAAACATCTTGCTCAAAGGGAGCCCTGACAATAAAATTTGGAACACCAAATCATTGAGGTCTAACAGGAAACTGCACAACTCTGAATATAATATAATATTGAAAAGAGCTTGTTCTGTTGCATAGAAAACGTCTACAAAAGGGCGCAACATAACAAAGCATAAACATATACAATACAGCTTACATCTGAGCCTGAGAGATGAGGTTTTTCAAACAAAGTGGGGAACAAATCTCATTCAACCTTGTATGCAAAAATGATTTATGAGGACTTAAGAAACATTTCAATAAATACAATTTGTCTGGCAATATATTGAACTGAAATACATTTATTCCAAACTGCTCTATCTTTATGGTCCAAGTGTTCAGAAATGAAGTGAAATGTCTGGCTGAGAGTAAAATTAAACAAAGAAAACAAATAAACACTGACATACACACGAAAGGTACTTCAAAATGCGGGTGCCGGACGCTTCACATGTTTTAATAAAAGGAACTCAACTCTGCGGTGCTTCATATGATTCCAAACCTGTGAGTGTTACAGAACTCAAGGTGCAGTGGTAGTAAAATACAACAAATTGCCATCAAGGTATTAAAAGCTTACATTGTAAATCAAAGTTAGAAAAAAATGCTTATAAAACAAAAGGCAACAGATAATCCTCCATTTCAAAACGCTGAGGGAAGGCTCGGGTTGAGTTTCACCGTAAAGGGGGGTTTGTGGTGGTCCCTTGGCTCAGCGTGCGAGCTTCTGCCTGGTGGTAACATCTCAAGAATCAGAGCGGCCTGACTCAAGTGAAGTCATGAGTGTCCTAGGCCTCAAAGCGCTTCGGGCAGATCATAGGAGCGATGAGGGTCATCATGTAGATGATCAGACAGACCCAGGAGCAGGCCATCTTGAGCCAGTAAACATCCCAGCTACCATCCAAAAACTTCTCGATCTCATGGTTTTTATAACTGTAACAGAAGCACACAGAAGGCAAATGTTTAACCTTTACTTACTCAATGAAACCTGTACTAACTATTGAGTCGCTCGAAGGCTGCAGAAACTAGCTGTGAGCATGACACAGGTTGAGGCAGCGAGCCTATTTGCAAAGAGAACTCACACATCCAGCTCTGGGCTGATAGATTAGGGTTTGTCTCTGAAACTAGTTGGTGGGAAACAAAACGATGAGGTCAACGACAGTGAGCAAAGCCAAGTACATAAATATGTGTTCTGTAAAAACTAATCAAATAATGAACTATGCCAAAACACTTCTTAATTGCTTTGATGAAGTGCAGAGTTATGGGCTCGTAACTTCCTGTGGGTCTGACACAAGGGTGGTTACACTTTTTACATAGAATGACAGGAATAAGAGTAAAGACGGGCTTTTTCCCATCTCGCATTTTAAGTTGTATTGGTAACTAAAGTACACAAGTTGATGGTGGCTTTAATGATGGCCCATCTAAAGTCATATAAAGCCACACCAGGCCTCTGTAAAATGTTGTGTCATAAAACCCTAAGTAGCCATTAATATTATACCTCTGCTTTGAAAGATGTTCATCAGTTAAAGGAGCAGTAGATTTGATTTCTCATCAGTTTAATTATTCGGTTACTAAGAAACACATTTAAACACATACGCATGTTGATACTTCATAATTTTTAACAGAGTGCCGTACAACTCATCCCCTCTTCTGCAGAGGTATCCGTTATGAACTTCTGTATGTTTGGCTATGGAATAAGCATTTTTTTTCAAGCTGGAGATAATATAATACTGAGAAAAACTGATTTTCAAACAAAGACCACAAACTGGTAAGTCTTGGGGGCTTGTTATTCTGTGCCAGTTTGACTAGGAGCTACTTTAACTTCTATATTTTGTATATACAGCCCAAGAAATGAAGCAAGACCATATTATATCCCTCACTGTGTTTTATGTATTATCTTAGTCTGAGAGGCCACAGTAACTGGATGCATGTTCATAATAAGCATACCAAATTACGACCAAACACTAAAGCACAGAGAGTGCATCAAGCTGAGTTCCACTCACTTAAACCAGTTGGTGACGGTCATCATGACGTAGAGCGATCCAAGGAAGAAGACAAAATGGAAGTAGGAGTAGCTGTAGATGGTTGCCTCTTTCTCATCATACACCACGTTCTGGCCGGAGCCAGTTCTCTCCTCATCATAGTCATCTGAAAACGCACAATTAATGATGCAGAGAGGATGTGGTGAGTGACCATTTTCATATCAGAAAATACTGTAAACAACAACTTGTGAGAAAGTCTGATGTCATTCAAAAAATAAAACATTTTATAACTTCAAAATAGAAGACGTGTACTTGAGGTGATACAGTTTTTCTGATTGGTGTATTTGACAGCATTCAGTGTTTTTTTGTCCTGCAGGGGGCAGTGTCTGCCTCCTAACAATTCTACTTTGCTGCTGGTCCTGCTTCACTGTGTCTTACTAACCTCCTAGTAACAGTGACATCATCTGTGTTTGCTGACCAATACTTTCTCACCATCCTCAGCTTGGCTGAAGAATATTAATGAGTGTATTCCCTCTGTGTGCGACTGGGGACATTTGCGAACAAACTGAGCTGGGTAGATATGTGGAGGGGAGGAGAATTAATATGTGTGGGGGGTTGGGAAACTTTCCTCACCTGTGTCATCTCCAAAACAGAAACAGCAGCGAGCTCTCTGCAGGAGAAAGAAAAACATACAGGTTACTAGGAAATAGACACCCACAACATGTCTTTTGGCTTTAATCTGTATCATTTGATAATGATGGATACAAATAAGGGCTGTTCAGTGGGGTTTCCACATTACATTTACCTCAGTTTCTGGCTCACTGTTCCTGCACACTCTGAGTGCTGCAGAGTTTCGCCTGGTGGTGGATGTCAGGCTAGAAGGAAGGTGGAAAAAGAGATATAAAGGGAGAGAAAGGCTATAATTCAGTCACTGTATATTTTTCCAATAATTGGCAGTTTCAAACGGCTGCACAGTTTTATTCCCTCTCCTTAGAGAAATGACCACAAAAGACACGATGCCTCCACTTGATAGAAAACACATGTGAACAAATGTTAAAAAAGCCACATTTCTCGTCTCTCACACCCTCAGCTTAGCCACAGCCAATCCCGACTGTCTTTCCTGAGTCACAGCCAATCAAACAAGTCTGTCCCTGTTGCTACAGCCTGGCATACAATATATTACTCTTATTGCATTTTGTTTATAACTGACTTGCTGTTAATGGGATTAGATTATGTTTTAGGGAAACTTGGTTTGACCGTTTCTAGACCTTGAGATAAAAGCAAAAGGTGCGTGCGTGTGTGTGTGTGTGTGTGTGTGTGTGTGTGTGTGTGTGTGTGTGTGTGTGTGTGTGTGTCTTACCAAGAGTAAAGAATACAGCCAAATAGGATAACGGTTCCCAGAGCGGTGACAATCTTCTTGTCGCTCTCCAGCCCGGAGTTGAAGGGAAAAACACACACTGTTGTGTTCACATCATTTATCTTCACCACTAGAAAGAAATGATGTGAAGACAGAGATGGATGAGGTGATACAACAATTGGAGGGAGTATTGTAAGTAGTGAGTGACAGTGTGAAAGATGTAGTGGGAGTGTGTGGATTTTGGCACAGTGTAAGCAGTGGTGAGAGAATGAGGGAAGGGAAAGGGAGATAGACCAACATGACAAGAACAAAAGCTGAAAGTCGTAACTTGAGTGTTTTTAAGGAAGGCACATGTTTATATTACAAGTTTAAAGTATTATTTACAACATTATGTCATATATATATATTTTTTTTTTAAACCGTAGAAACTGAGGCTTTAAGGTTTTTAGTTTTAAGAACTAAAATGTTCTCTCAGGGAAAATAGAATTTTTAAATATTCATCATAGAGCTCATAAAGTCCCCATGAAATAAAAAATATATATTTTCCTGGATTTAATCCAGCATTCCTGTGTTCAAAGTTCATTCAAATGCTATTACCTATTAATATATATTTCAATAAAGCATTATCTGAGTATTTTAACATCATAATAACAGGATTTTATCTTCCTGTAAAAAGTTTCAAATGTCTGATGATTTATCCTGCA